GAGGTGAAGATCGGTCAGAACTTGCTTCTGAAAGTTGGGCATCAAGGACACCACGTTGAGCCCCATCTAAAACTTCAAATCCGCCCCGTGACGGAAATGATGCAATACGGACTCCTCCCGTCATGGGGACAGTGACCTGGATGTTTCGATAGCTTCCTTCTGACGTTGAGAGTTTATGAACATACTTTTTTTTATATTTAAAATATCACATCACTAGGTTTATTTTGATAGTATTTTGTTATGGCATTTAAAAAAAAAGATTTTATTTACCTTTAGAGGGGAAAGGAAGGAGAGAGGGAGAGAAATATCAATGTATGGTTGCCTCTCCTGTGTCCCCTCCTGGGAACTGGCCTGCAACCCAGGGATGTGCCCTGAGTGGGAATCGAACCGTGGTTGCTTGGTTCCCAGGCCCGCGCTCAGTCCACTGAGCTACACCAGCCAGGGCTTTGAACATATTTTTTTTAAAAATCTGAAAAGCCCTGTGACTGATTATGTGCCGGGGATGAGGAGGGTGAAACCCTACAGTTTGGACAGATAGCAAAAAACCATCCTTGCTAAATTAACTTCTTCAAAAACTTTCATTGTCAGGAAACTGAAGTGTCCACATTTGGGTCACTTAACAGGACAGAGAAGCCACAATGACACAGTAGTTTCCTCACCAAAGAAATCCAACCAAGAAAATATTCTCATTGTTAGGAAAACTAAAGCAGAGGATATGCAACCTAGGAACGTTAGAAAGATCAAAAACTATAGGCAAAACCCTACATCTTCAAATTTAGTATTAGTGTGCCGGAAAGCCTAGCGCGGGGTCGGGGGCACACGGCACAGCCACCAGCTTCCCGGAAGGCGGCAGCCCCGCTTGCCCGCAGCGAGGACACACGGCTACGAGCACCAGGACTTGGACATCCACCCTCCATAACCAGGCCTCACACAGCCACTGCCGTTTTCTGAGGCTGTCAGACTTCACTCAAGACTGTGAGTAGGCTGCTGTCTAGAAGAAATTTAAGCTTTCTCTAAAAAGCATAAGGCAATCTTAACTAAACCAAATTAGGATAAATTACTGGTGCTTTCAAGAATGTACAAAAGCTGGCTGGTGTGGCCCAGTGGACAGAGTGCCGACCTGTGAACTCCAAGGCCTTCAGTTCAATTCCCAGTCAAGGCACATGCCTGGGTTGCAAGACAGGTCCTGTTGGGGGCGTTCAAGAGGCAACCAATTGATGTTTCTCTCCCTCTTACCTTCTCTAAAAACAAAACTAAAAAAAAGCACAAAAATACTTGGGGAGTGTGTCACACCTGCAAATGCACTCGCCCTGGGCCCTCCATGGACTCAGGGCTACAAGGGGAACGTAAAATGGGCCTGAGCCAAAGACACGCAGCCTCGGGCGCAGTGTGGCTCCTCCGCTCTTGGCACGGGGCGCACGCAGCCCGGCCGCCCCTCCGCGGGGGGCGGCGTTCCTGGCTGCGAAGGCAGACCGTGCCCTCTGTCACTCACGGGGAGCAGTTCTGCCCAACTGTCTGTTTTCGACAACTTTATCATCCATCTCTTTATTAACAGCTCCACGCAGTCAGAAAACGCAAACGAGGACCAGTTCTCGGGCCAGATTTCTGGAACCCGCACAGCGCCAGGCAGCACACGGTGTGAAAGTTTGTAAGGAGGGTGCTATGCCAAGAGAGACAGCATCCACAAGGAGCGGGCACGAAGCTGGGATATTTTACGTTATTTTAAAATATACGTGCATCTCCCTGATGTCTGAAGGTTCAAAGAACCCAAGAGCCGTGAGCGCGCACAGGTGCCCTCGCCCGCGGGAGTGGGGGGGCCCTGCCAAGATGGAGACTCTCCCCGGAAACAACCCGGTTATTTTGTGTTCACATAAGTCTTCTCAGAGCAAATACGGTGTTATACCAAAAATTAGTAATTTCAGGGCTCTATGGCTTTATTAAAAAAACTTCTAAGACTGAGATAAAGGTCTGCAATGAGCTGTAAAGAAATCTAAAATCAAAATTTTAAATTATTCAAAATAGCTGTTTTCATATTGAAAACTGTTGGATCAAAAAATAGCATCTTATGAATTAAAGGAAATGCTTCTAAAAGGCTTACAGATATCTTTAAGGGACTTGGACTTTTAAAGAAATCAGGCCGCACTCGTGACTAACGTGGAATTAAAAACATTGATGTGAAAACCGAGACCAGTCCTGAGCACGGAGATGCCCTGGGCTTAGACTAAGTGGCCCTGTAGGACTTGAACTGTCAGTTACGTCACACTCTGCGGAAGACTCGGACCTCCCACGGGCCAGGACTAGCCCCTCACTCCTTTCCTGTTTCCCATTTCAATCCGCGGTGCAGTTGTGTGACATACGCTCAGAACTGCCAGCAGAACAGGGCTCACAAAGCGTCTGGACACCGGCAGCCACTGTACACCGCTCCCAGGGGAGCGTCTGGCTGCGCTTGTTTCAGGGACACACACGGTCTTGGGGCTGTGCCGTCTGTGCTTGGGCGGAAGACGAGGTGGCTGAGACGACGGGGATCGGGGGGAGGTTCAAGCCCCAGTGAGGCCGCACTGGGCCTTCTAGACCAGCACCATTCACCCCACGATGTACAGTAGAGCAAAACCAACACTGCCTTAGGCCTCCCCTGGCCAATTCTGCCTGCTGGTAAGAGGAAGCGTGATTCTCACTGCAAACGGACACGCAGAGACGCAGGTGCTCAGCTGGGCGGCGAGGAGGAACTACTGTAGGGCGTCGACCTGTGTTTCAGAAGCCGCGCAGCAGGAAGTATAAAGCTCCAAGTGGGGCGCACGCTCAGCCTGCTCTCCGGTCCACAGGATGCACTCCCCACCCCAGGACTGCATGCAGTTCAAAGACACCCGACCTAGAAGGGGGTGCTGCACACCCTGTTTACATTCACCTGCGAATACTTTCAAAGTTAACAATGTAAACAGCAGGTAGGTAAAGTCCATAAACTCTGAACAGTGCTGAGCCCGGAACTCTAAATCAGCACAATTTTTAGCTATGTGAAAATGTGAAATCATTTAAAAAAGATAACTCAAGAAAAAACAGTAATTACCCATCACAACCTTGCACACAGACATGAGCTTTCTGATATGGGAACGTGAGCACTGCCTACATTCTACCCTTTCAAGGAAAGGCCTGTGAACTGGGAGTGGATGAGGAGAGGGGGAAATGTACTCAGAATTCCATTCCTCGACAAAGTATGGTTTTGTATAAGCTGCAATGATATTCTCAGAACACAGATGAAAGCACATCTCTGAGGAATAAAAGCAGAAGTTGAAATGGCTTCCCAAGTAGACGAAACCATTTGCAGAATGAAGTACAATCATTTCTAAATTCGTGGCTCAGAAATATCGATGTCGTCTTCCTTGGGGCCAATAAAGACATATAAAATGTCGTAAGAATTCTTAAACTTAGAAGCAGAGAGAAAGGACGAATAAATTGATCCCACAAATAAGTGTCACACAAAATCAAGCAGACCACTGTGTCTCTACGACTGAAGGTCACAATCATTACAAAGTGCATTTAGTATTTCATTCACCAAGTTCAGGTCTGGGTTAAAACGGCATCCATTTATGATTTGGGACTGCAAGAAAAGCTATAGAAGAGGAATAAAGTGGAAAATCAAAAACAAAACAAAACACAAACTCCACACAATTCAGATAAATGACGACTTATTTTCCTTGTACTATTCTTTTATTAGAATTAAAAGAGGCAAAACATAGTCCAAAGGATCGTTTAATGCCTTTTTGGTAAACAGCTTTTGTTTAAATGCATTTAAGTGCACTAACAGTTACGATCCCGGGGCCTGGTTTGTGCCTTAGTGAGTTACCCTTTCATGTATCAATTACTACTTAGAGCTGCTGGTCATTTATTGCCAACTTGAGTATCTATTCTCTGCATAGAATAGATACTATGCAGAGCTCTAAAACACTTTTCTGTGTGGAGAAAAAAAAAAGAGGTGTTAATTAGACAAATACAAACCTTATTACAGAATACACTGAGAGCCACAAAACACACAACTTGCAATATCATTTTACTAATTCAGCAAGAGGAACGAACGCCAGAGGCAGTGCGGGCGACGCAGCTGCGCGTGCGCGTTGAGTCCCGCGGCCGGGAGTCAGCCCAGGCAGAGCAAGTTCAGGAAGTTGACTCTGCGGGCGTGAAGAGTCAAGGGTCATTTTTACAGGATGTTCCCTTTCCTCGAACAGTCTCAAAGGTATGACAGAAAGTTCTCCCACGCTGAAGCCATGTGTTTTTATACACGGCAGAGGCACCAGAACTTAAAATTTCGGGGATGAAACAGGCACAAGGGCACGTCCCTTGGCACAACGCTTTTACGGCAGGACGTCTGCCACTCCACCCAAAGCGCCGCAGGTGACCACATCCGGGGGCTGGCCACCACCGTGTGTACGGAGCAGCTCCCTCCTCACTGAAGTGAAACACTCAATGCTGAGCATTTGGGGGTTTAGGAAAAGTGGCATCTGATTTGGGTTTGGTAAGAGAAGTGCAGGATCCTGGCTGGCTACAGTTTTTAATCCCAAGTTCACCGAGAAACAACAGTGCCACCTGCTGACACTGGGGAGAGCATCGACTGCTTGGAAACCCACCGCTTTGTGAGCAGCACATGCAGGGCGCCGGGCGCACAGCGCGGGGCAGACACAAAGGCGAGGTGCAGTGCCCACGTGCTCGGAGGACATGCTCTGGAGGACATGACAGCTGGAACTGAGCTCAACTGCCTTCCTGTTCTCTTCCCTAATGATTACCTACGTGAAAAACAAATACCTAATTGTGTGCGCTATCAATTACTACTGGGCTGCTGGCTACTGGCATGAATTAACCAGAAAGAAATCTTCTCTCAATGGAACCACAGGAGATCCTTCTGCAAATCTTCACTCAGACCCGCACTACACCAACGTTAGGACGAACCAATCGTACCACTTAAAAAACAAAAGACAAAGTCACTCAAAAGAAACCAGCCAACCGTGGAATTGTGCTGCTGTTGTTTTTTATTGTGTTTTCAATGGAGAAATACATCATCTGTTTACAAAATAGCTCTTGAAAAATACAAGGAGTACAGACACTATAAAACAAAGCAAACCCCAGTCATGGGACACTACGTACATCATGCGAAGGCAACAGTCTGATCTCCAGGTTATGGAAACTAGAATTAAAAAGTCACTACACAGAAAAGGTCCAAGTCTCCAGCTTGGCAAAACTTGGGTGCAGTTACATGAAACGTTTAATGAACTGAATTTTTCCCCAATCTGTAAACAAAATGACAAGACTAAATCTGTGCCTGGCAATTCCGATCTAACTCTGAAGCTACACAAAACACACGGACACCTCGTACACTTCACCTGTTAGCACGACCGTCTCTTCGCAGGTGGTGGGAGGAAGGGCAAGGTGGCTGTGCAGAGCCAAGATGACTGAGGGAGGTGCCGTGCTAGACGTCCAAAGTGTGGTGAAAAGAAAGCCTCAATCAATGTGGAGCCCAAGGGGGAGAGACTGCACTGTGACTGGGAAATCAATTTAGAAGGACGGGGAAGAGTTTACGGAGCTGCAGTTTAACAGGAAAATGCACGTGTGCCAAAATGGAACACCGCGGAGGGCGTGGGACACGCTTGTCGGAAAGACCGGCCAGGCTGGCTCTGTCCAGATGGAGAGAGAGTTTATCAACATCTGGCGTCCCTCAGAGTTTGTGAAGATGGAGGTTCTGCTGCTTCCTTTGGAGGAGTTATTCCCTTTAAAGAAAAGAGTTCCTAATCCATCGACAGGATAACGCAAAACGGAGGAGCAGAGAGAGCTGACTAGATGTCAAGTGCTTGCTAGAAATGATTTTTTAAATGCTTCTACACATAAAGTTTACTGACAAATTTTGGTCAACCATTTAAAAGTAAAAGTTAGTTTAAAATTCTTGGAAAAAATATCTTTTGCCCACATTTTTTAAACTGAAAAATCAACTTTGCTGCCGACAGCTCTGCGGAGCACACAAAATCCCCCCACGCAGAGCCCCGGTGGGCACCCCCGAGGCAGCACATTCCCAGGCCTCAGCCACGGGCTGACACTGCGTGGCGTGTGCATGCGGCCTCGGGGCCGCCGGCTCCACACCGCGGTGCGAAAAAACACTGGCAAGTAGTCTCGTCTGGAGCCGCCCTGCCTTGTGCACACAAGCAGAGGGGAAAAGAGCGAGGGGGGGAAAGCAAAAGGGTTCGTTTGTTTCACAGACAACAGATTGAAGGCAAAAGAATATGGAGCTTTAATGAGCTCAAAGGAAAAATGTTTGCTGGCTGATCGCTGATTTATATGCACTCTAAACAATTCTATAAATAAAACCAATATATCATTTCTTAATCATGACCCCATCAAACCAAGAGTTTCCTAATTCTTCTTCCGATGTTAAATATACACCCTAGAACTGGCCATCCAGCTGACGGGCAACAGCTGCCCCCAGGGACTGCACTGGGTGGCCTCCGGGCCCTTCCCTGAAGGACGGCGGTGCACCTGCACGACGGTATCCAATTTGAAGACTAAAGGGGAAGGAAATTCTTCAGGAAAATGAAACTCCATCAGGCTGAAAATCTAAAATTAGTTCTACTTTCTAATTTAAAAAAAAACATGAAAGTGCATCGTCAGAATAAGGAGTTCTTATGCCAGTTTATATTGCAAATTTTTCAAACAATGCATCAAACATACACCCAATCCAGATGTCGATTATGGATACAAATAGAGCTTGAGGGGTTTTTTTTTTGCTTTTTTTTAAAGGCAGTAATTTTTTGAAATAGTTAATGCAACTGTTGCTAACACAATAATAATAGTACTCCTGGCTTCACATACTAACCTGGACTTCCGACCGAGTGCTGGTTAGCCCAGTAAGGGAGGCCACAAAACCCCTAAGTCCGTTTTCAGTCCTGTCTAGTCTCGGACCCTCCATTCTCCTTTTTAGCATCTGAAGACGACAGGTGGACTTGGCAGATACTGTGTATGGACCCCTGAGGTGGTTTTTACCGATTCAATCTCAGTTTTATTGAATTCTTGATAACAGGAATAGGATTTGCAGGGAGAGCAGGAATATCAGAAAGGTCTGTACTGGATGTTTTCTGAGAACAAAAGCAAAGAACACAACACTGTTCAAAGCGCTGTAACCGAACAATGAGACTCACTCCCCCACTGCTTTACTCCTAAGATGAGATGGGACCTTATCATGAGAAGCACTAGAAAACTGAAGAAAAATGTTCTAAAATGATGTCAAAATGGAATGCAAATAAATATGACGTACTATGAGATTATTTCTTCTACACTTGTAGAAACATTTTAGCAACACATAGAAAACTGGTTAAGTAATTTCAAATACAGCTGCTACAGACCCACTTCTCTGCGATCACCTATCATGTAATTGTTAGGTTCATCTGAACACCGACTGCTGTGATGCTGACTGGTGCTGGAGCTCCCCCATGTGGGAGAATGCTTCAAGTTCACCCTACACACAGGAGCAGCAGTTACCGGTACATTTATTATTTTCTGACCCTGTAAATTATAAAATCGAATCTATACAACTTAGCAATAATTTAATTATCCTAAATTTCAGGGAAGTCTCATGTTAAAAGTAAATCAGATCATGGGCTTCTTTAACATTCAAGAACATGGAGATAAATGTTCCAACGTTCATTACGGGGAGTTCCAAACACATGAAGGCAGGAGCGCCCATGATGAGTCCCCGGCACTTGTCCTCCACCTTCGCCAGCTGCCGGGCGAGCCCACTGTCCTCCCCCCTTCGCTCCCGGGCTATTCCAAAGCAGATCCTAGCATTTCAACGGTAAATAGTTCAAGTTTATCTTAAAACAATAAGGGCTTTTTGTTAGACACAGCCACAATACTTTACCCCTCCCCCAAGAAAACCATTCCCCACACAGCACCAACTACAGGGATGTGTTTTTAAAAATCAACATAATCACTTTTATAATGGGGCGATTTTCCTGTCAGTGGCTCTAGGAACCTTTTCATCCTACTTCCTCGTAAAAACAGCCAAAGGGCCAGCACCTCTGGGTACCAATCACCACAGGGACACAACTGGGAAAGCCCCCTAGAGAGTGACGTGGCAAATGACAGGATGTGCCATCACCACCACGGCAGGACAGCTGAGGTTGGCTGGCTAAACAGGGCTGTCCGCGCAGTGCCATCGAACGCGGCACTTCTGAATGTCGTTCCGGTCAGTCCCCCAAACACGTGTTCCTTAGATAAAGGTCACAGAACTAGAAGGCATTCCAGAAGAGTAAACACAGAATTTAGAGCATCTTTAGGGACTGTGACACAGGTTAACAACCAGCAAAAACACAGTGTAGAACTACCACACTGAAATGACCCTGGAACACAAAGCACCAAAACATCACTGCGTCAGTTCGACAACTGCAGTGGTCATCTCTGCGACTTTGTGGGGTCGAACGGTTTAACTTCCAGTTAAAGAAAACATTTACTTTGTGTCAGAGTTTGACCTAGACTTTGAAATACAGTCAATTTGAAAGAATTCAAAAAGAAAACATTGCACAAATGGAAGTTCACGAATCAACAAAAAGATTCCAACCAAGTGCCTGCTATATGCAAGGGACTGTCACGAGTAGAACTTATAGGTCAAATGAAAAACTTATTTTAAAGAACTATAGGTTACAATAAATTAATAACTGAAGATCAGAAGAAACACTTTAAAAATAAAAAGATCACATTAACCTCATAAAATCTGCAAAGGCTGGTTTTCACCTGTCATCATTTACATTTCCCTTTGACCTACACCAATAGACCCTTCACGAACACTGCATACGGTGACTCCTGAGGGTGGACGTGACAGGCAACACTCAGTGTGTAAGGAGCTGAGTTAGCGGTCTTGACAGTGCAAACAACAATAAAAAGGCTCCATGTAACCCTGTGCTTTATAAACCACAACAAATACATTTTTAAACTAGCAAGTAATTACGTTAAATCTTACACCACAATAATCTTCACTTTTATAAAACTCCTTGCTTTTCGCATTCAGTACCTGAGAGGCCAACAGAGAAGCCGCTGTCTGACCAGCTTCTGATTGAGCTGTACTTGTCTCTGTATCAAGTTGTTCCTGTGAGACAAAGATGGGAAAGAGACTTAACAACTAAAAAGGTAACTGGGCTGGTGGCTAATAAAGAACACGTACCAGAACACCAAGGATTGGAAGAAGACTCAGCTGTGGCACAAAACCACCTAGGGAGCCTTGTTGGAGGTGAGTGCCCATTTCATACACACGTAAACTTCGATTTGTCTCCTTAAACCTTCTAAAGCTTGGTCAAAATAGCTCAACTTCCCAACCAGCTCCAATTGGACATTTTAAGCAAACAATAATTAAAGGCACACACAGGCACATTATGAAATGTTGCCCGATTGTTAACAAAATATAAACCCGAGCTCTTAGTTATGTGGAAAAAACAAAGCCTATTCAGTATCATTAGATGAAATTACCAAAGCACCAAATGGCCCCATGCCTTCAATGTGAAGTGGAAAGTCGCTACATCCCCTCTTTCCCTTTGGTTTCTCTGCCCCTCCGCAATAACCACACGCTGATTCTACTCTACATTTAATCGGGAAACAAGGCTGAATGAACCGTGTCATTCCACTTTTTAAAAACAGTGCACGCACACAAACATACTTATACACAAATGAAAATAAACATAAAAATGGGCATTTCTAGAAAAAATACATATACAGTAATAGAACAATGAAATACCAATCTTCTCCTCTGAAAATGAAAAGCGTAAAGCGGGACGTGAGGAGTGGACATGAAGCGCAGTGTTTCTGTAGCACGGCTCGGCAACATGCACCGAGTTTTAAAGGGAAGCATACTATCGGCCTTAGTAATTCCTCTGTAATTACTTTTTCCTAATAAACATAAACGGATGGCAGGAATTTAGCTACCGTTAATACTACGGTGGGAAAGAGCAACTTCCTTTTTTTTAACAGAAGCAATCTCTAACAATAGGAAACTCACGCAAAAAATGGTAACTGCTTTAAGACAGCATTCTATGCAACCATTAGTAGTATTTTCTAGACATAATATAAAGTAACATAAAATGTCTTCTTGACTTACGGGAAGAATAAACATTTGAAAGCAAAAAGCACTGGCAGTATACACAAACAAAATCTATGAAGACATCGAAACCATCCGTGCTGAAATAGCAAACATGGGAATGTGGATAATTTGGGAGAAGAAAGGTAAGCTAAAAGCCTTTATTTAGCACAGGTCAGTTTCTGAGAAAAATGATGTTCCAAGTCTAAAAGTTTCCATCCCATCTACCTTGTTTCAAGCCCCATGCACCTCAGCTTCTAGCCAGAACCTCCTGCTGAAAACTAGTTCTGCAAACACTCCACCCTCTCGCCCCAGCAGTGCGGCGAGCTCATCGAGGGCTGCCCCAAACCCTGCGTGTCCGTCAGGCACCACCGCAAATGCTCCGTCTTCCCTTTCCGAAGCCCTACGCTGTGTTCTGCAGTCACAAAGTAACACCTAACTCCTCTTGCCTCTCACCACCACCAACCTCAGTTACTTTTATTTTCTTTGATAATGTAATGAAATGCTTCTGCCTCTTCTGTATGTAACTGTAACTTCTTTAAAGGTGTGGGACACAGTTCACCCACTCACCACTCTATCCCGTGAGGTGCTATCAGATTACAGCGCACCCGGAAGGGCCTCAAACATGTTGCAGAATTCAATCTCAGCGTTGTGAAGTAACATTAAAAAGGGACAAACACTTCTCTGAAAACAGTAATGAACATAAGCTACTGAACAAAAGACAGCACAATATTCGAGAGACATTCCTATCACACCTTCTGTCCTCTTAACCGTGTATGTATCCCAAAGCCAAGTTCAGTGCACCTGTTTCTGTTTTATCATGTCCACTCAAAGCTGGACAGTTAGCATCTTCACTTGTTTCATCCTGTTGTTTAAAACAAAAGCTTTATTCTCTAAAACAAAAAATTTAGATTACTTGCCAATCAATGCTTTAATTTATATAAATTTTTAAAATTATGAAATAATTTAACCTGTAGGATCAAGTATGGTCTTAAAAGAGATTATTGATTCACCTAATTTTTTCATATTAACAAGTTTAATTAGTATACTAATTTTAGTATCTGACAAAATTAAAAAGAACAGACGAAAACTGGATCATCACCACTTAAAGTGCATGCCCTAAAACCTGTAAGCTCATAAAATATTTTTTGTAAGAAAGAAAAAAAGGAGTTCCTTGATTAAACAATTTAGACTTGAAATACTATCACCTGCATTCTGGGAGATTCATCCATATCTCTTCTCTCTCTTTCTCACACACACACACATACACACACACACACACCCAAGATTCTATTAAAAAAACACACAAACACACACACACATATCCCTTTGACTTTTCCAAAGTTAATTAACCACAGAATGCCCTTGCATAGTAAAGCCTATTGAAATCCTGAATACAATGTTTCAGAAATGTTCTCTGCAGGTCTTAATTTTTAAATTTATTATAATTTTATTCAAAACAACTCATTTTTGATAAAGAAAAAAGGAAAAGCCAAAAATGGCTGTGCTTTCTTATTCCTGCAGTGACTTTTTAATAAATATCACTTTCTTAAGAAAAATAATTTTGACACTAATTTCTGTTTTATTTACTAGGAAGAACTAGAATTTAATTTTAAATGTGGCTCTTAAATAAGATATAGAAACCATAGGCTAACTTACAAAGTAGGAGATTATTAATTGCAATATCAACCAATTCCAATAATATAAACCTTATTTGTATCCTGCAAACATACAAACTTAAATATGTGGTAATTAAAATTACTGGGTAAATTATTTTCTTAAAATTTTTTTGGGTTGATTTTTAGATGGGGGGGAGAAAGAGAGAGACACTGATTTGTTGTTCTACTTATTTGTGCTTTCACTAGTGGATTCTCATGTGCGCCCTGACCAGGGATCAACCCCACGACCTTGGTGGTATGGGGATGACATTCTAACCAACTGAGCTACCTGGCCAGGACCACCCACTGGGCAAACTTCAATTCTGACTGGATATGTGACATTATGGAACTACTGTTAATATCGGTAAATATACACACACACATAAAACATATACGGTAATAATACCTATAATTCTGTTTTTATTAGTCCTTATTTTCAGAAGCACTCACTGCTGAAATGATATGCCTGGGATCTGCTTGGTAACAATGGGGAGGGGAGCAGGTATGTAGATGAAAGGCTAGCAATGAGCTGTTAACTGCTAAGTGATACAAACATCATTATAATTTTGTAAATGTTTGAAATTTTCCATAAGTTTTAAAAATATGTGTACGTATATATGTATGTATCTATCCATCTATCTATCTAAATATATGTATCACCCTGGCCGAGTAGCTCAGTGGGTTCCCAGCCAGGACACATATAAGAGAATCAACCAAAAAATGCATAAATAAGTGGAACAACACTGATGCTTGTCCCCTCTCTCTTCCTCACTGAAAATCAATTAAAAAATAAATGAAAATACACATAGCTAAAATATAATAAACATAGCAACATTAAGTTTAAAAAATATGTAGGGCAAACCCTGGCTGGTGTAGCTCAGTGGATTGAGCACGGGCCTGTGAACCACTGCAGTTCGATTCCCAGTCAGGGCACATGCCTGGGTCGCAGGCCAGTTCCCAGCAGGGGACTCAAGAGAAGCAACCACACATTGATATTTCCCTCCTTCTCTCCTCCCCTTCCTCTCTAAAGATAAATACAATCTTTTAAAAATATGTCGGGCAAATTTTTCTACTTTCTTTTATATTCCTAGCACTTAAATATATTTGAAAAGCAGAATCAAACCACCTGGTAATACCTAAACCCTCCTATCTGCACACATTAGTGTATTATTAATTACGTAGTGCTGTGTTTCTCTCTCATTTGCTAAAATTTCTAACACCAAGCACTCATTAACAGAGGATAAAAGACTGCAGTTTAGGAGCACTTCAACATGAGGCTATTTAGGGTATTCAGAACAATCTTCTTCCACTTTAGCAGTCTGATTTAGGTTGGGTTCTAACCCGGTCTGACTTCCATTAGCTCTCTAAATGCAAAGCCAATGAACCTCAAGTTTCTCTTCTAAGGAATCAGATTACTCTAAGAGATAACCAAGATCCTAAGATCCCTTCTCTATCTCAAAATCCCATTTTTATTAGTCAACTCCAGAGCTGCCTAAACAAAACCCAGACTGAGAGACTATACAGCAAAAACAACTGCAAGAAAAAAGGGGAGCAACCTGTACTTTTACAGGGCACTTAGGCACAGCACTCAATTGCTAAACAGGGATCTTATTTAGTTACAGATGTGAATAAAGACTTTAAAAAAAATCAGTGACACAATCAGGGGTATTTGGGCACCGACCAGATATTTGACATTAATAAACTGTTGATTTGTTTCTAAGTGGGTTACATTTACTTTGTTCACACTTTCTTTTTTATAACCATTATATTTTAGATAGAAGATTTCAAAATTACTCATGATAGAATGTTTGAATTTTGCATCTAAATAATCCAAGTATAGGAGGAAATAAGTGGAAAGGCTGAAAAGAATGAAGGGTGCGGGGTCTGGCTCAGTTCACGACACTTGAAGCTGCATGATCAGCATGAGTACATGAAGTGACTCTCTGTACTCATGTGTCTACTTCAAATTTTCCATACTAAACTTAAAAACTTTATATTCCTACTGCTTCTCTAAATTAGTCAGGAAACATGCGTGTTTTCTACCAAGGTAAGTGCAAATAAAATTACAAATATTGTGCTGGCACACATTTAGTTAGAGCTCATACAGAACCATTAAGAAATTAACCAATTAAGAAAACAGAATGACCCATGGTTGGTGTGGTTCAGTGGACTGAGTGCCAGCCTGCAAACCAAAGGGTCATCGGCTCAATTCCCAGTCAGGGCACATGCAGGCCAGGTCCCCACTCTGGGGACGTGAGAGGCAGAAGAAAACAGAATGACAGGCACCTGGAGTTCCACTCACATGTACTGTACTAAGGTGAAATAGGAACTCTGAAACGCCAACAGCCCCGACCAGGTACCCAGACAAAACGTGCCAGCGCATGCAAAGCAGCGCGTGTGCAGGCCGACGCCAACACTCTGCAGGGGCGCTGGGGCTTCTAATAACAGAGTCCTCAAGACTCTGGGCCACTGCCTCCCCCAAACCCCAGCCTCCAAAAGGTCTTAATCTAGTGTTTGGAAGACGGTGAGAAGCAGACAACTGAGGAAGAGAGGGGCTAAGTCAATCCTCTTTGGGTGGTGTTTCTTTAGGAAAAAACTTAAGTTTTACACAGAAACATTAATAAAAAAGTTATTTCCTTATTGTGTAAAAAAAACCCTCCCAAGCCTCCCTCCGAGAGAGCCTCTGACTCAGTGTGTCTCCAGAGAAGGCCCGAGGATCTATATTGGGAGGGGGGGAGACGTGAAAAAGTGACTCTAATGTGCACCTGGGGTCTGAAATCAGCACCTTTAGAAAGATAATCACAGTCACAGATGCAGTTTTCAGAACACATGTTTTACAATAAACTGTGACCGGTTTCCATTCACCCTTAGCATGGTGAGAACGACAAAATTCACCAAATTATTCATGCTTCATTAACAATGACTACTTCCTAAAACAAACAAAAAAAAACCAAACTTCAGAACCTAGGGAACAGAACATTTAAAAATTAAAGACAATAATTTTTCCCCATTACAGATCAAACACTCTATGAGAAAGATTTTTTCCCACATTCTAAAAAAATTTCTGTTATAATGAGTTAAGTTCCTAGACACCCAATTATCAGCCAGAAAGCACCACAAGGCTGGTGTTGAGGACTGCCACCTCCAGGGCGGTGGGGACACCTCGCAGGCAGGAGACACCTGGAGAGGGGCCCTGGGGCCAGTGCGACTGTGTGGAAGGCTACGTCTGTTCCAAGACTCACACTAACACCAATGGACACTTCAACTGGTTTCCTTAAAACTGAGACTTTGATACAATAAACCAGCTACTACCAAATGTTGAAGTATTGCTAGAAAATTTCCTAGAAAGTTAGAGAAAACGATCACTCCAGGCCCCAAACTCACCTGACTGTGCAACTTGGCCCGTCGCCCTGCAAGCATTCCCTGAGAACCACCGGTACTCACTGCGGAGACCGCAAACCTCCACGTGGGTCTGAGACAAAAACTGTGTCCAAGAGGCTATGGAGGAGCCAGAGCGCACAGCACACGGAGAGAAGGGAACACTGACCGAGGGTGTCCTGTGAGTCCACGCTAAGTGTGCTACAGTCTGGGTGGACTGCCCAGCCCGACAGAGAGGCGGTCAGGGGCGGGGCGGGACCGAGTGCAGAGAAACTAGGGCGCTACCTGCAACTTCCCTACAAGCTTCCTCCTCGCTGCTTCCCAACTTTGGCTCACAAAGGTTTCCCTCCACTGGAGTTTAAAATAGGCAAGCTGTATTCCCACGGGTAGTGAACATATAGATACCTCTTCTGCCCTAGTCTTTTTGGGACTCTCTTCTTTATGAGGTGAGGATCTCCGTTTGACCCCTACTACAGGTGTTGGTATTTTTGTCGCTGCATTTCCCGAAGGTCTGGGTGACGGGTTCACCAGGCGCGTGGAAGAAACGACTCTGGAGACTGCAGGCTTTGGCGGTGATGAAACAGCTGGCTGGGTGGCGGTCTGCGGAACGCTTTCACTTGGTGCACCTGGGCGATAAGGACCCGTTAGAACGGAGGAGTTACATTGCGCCAGCGTCCACTTACAAGTAAAGCCTCGTGTCTCTGAATGTGACTGCACTGATAATTTCACATGCAAGTGCTAAAACCTTTAAAAACTGAATTCAAACCACTTGACAAAAAAGGCATCTTTCCAGATGAAGCCTGAATCCCCACACGCTGTGAGTCCCCACAAACCTGTCAAACCGATCTCCTTGCCCCCTGAGCTTTCGCCGGAATTCGCTTGTGGCACAGAAACTTCAGTGGCTTGTATGCTGGTCACAGATGCTGCTGTTACAGCTGGTGCAGGACTGCTTCTGCTATTAAAGAAAAAAAGTTAAGAAGTAAATAGAGAAGTATAAACTTCAATTGCAAAGGTATAAGCTATTTTCTAAAGGACATGACTGCGAGTTTCCTTCCCATATGGCACGTCAGTAACTGACTTGACTCAGGGAGATGTGACCCCACCAAAAGCACGCCGACACCAGAGCAGCGCTGTCCTGCAGGACTCCCAGTGCCAGTCCTGCGCCTGCAACAGCCCACCTGGGAGTCACTCTACAGAGGAAACAGTGTCAGACACTGAGTATAGGTTTTATTTAATACTAATCACATTACAAGCGCCACATGTACCTAGGGACTACCATGTTAAGAACAGATTTTTAAGAACTGTTCTATTTGATTTTAGGTAAAAAAGAATCCTATCAAAAAATATAAACAAGAAAACAACCCGAGAAATAGAAATGTCTCTGTACCCCAAATCTGAGCATTCAGGAGACCCTGAAAGCCCACCCAGTGGCCCAGAGAAGCAGCAGACTCTCCAAGCCCCACCCCTTCCTGCCATCTTGAGAAACTAATCATTCTCCCTTCACTCTCCTGTCTCTTCAACTTTTCTATTTTAAATAAATCCAACATGTAAGCACTTAAATAATCTCATTTATTACCTCCTGGAAAAAGAAAACAAAAAAAGGCCTCTGCTGCTCCTCTCCCCCTCAACTGCGAAATGACGGCATCACAACAAGCCAGGCAACGCTAGAGCAGTTCCAGGTTTCTGGTGCCCATGTGACATTCGCAGAAGAGCCGGAGAGCATTCAGCTTGTGAAAGCTCTGGGGCTACCTGGCACAGCTGTTCCGTTCAACGTCATGTCACTTCATCGTAATACTGATGAGAAAGACAAACAGACCCCACTGGGGACACCGTCTGCGTGCGCTGCTGCACGTTCCCCTGGGTCCGCAAGGGGCTGCTCCGGGGACCCTGGGCTCCTCCCCCATCGCACAGATGGGCGCTGGTGCATCTCGGGTGTCACAGTCAGAGTGAGTGGCGTGTGTGTGAGGAGCACTGTTATGGAAGAACATCCTGTGGGGGGGGGTGGTGGTGGTGGTGGTTCCCAACTTGCATCCCAAGCTGCCAGGATAAGCAATGGCCACCCACACCCTGAACTGGAATGAGCACGTTAGAAAAACTACAATCTTCTTGTTTTTATTAATCTTTCTTAAATGTACGTATAGCTCACCTTTATTTCAATGTTTCGTATTAGAATTGTTTGGTGATGTTTTTGAGACCAGAAATACGCCGTAAGAACTTGTGTTTGTATCAATTGGCCTATGGTAAAATGGATTTTGTTCATGTTAAAGTCACAGTTTCTAAGAACCTATCGACAATGTTAAGTGAGAATTTACTGCCCATGAAAGTCGCCAAAGTCAGCAGAGCAGGTGACAGCACGACCCCACGGAAATCAGAGACGGAGGAAAGGCCAAGGAGCGAGCCCTTGAGGGCACAGGCATCTCAGGACTAAGCAGAAAAGGGGAGCCAACCGGGGCCACAGGTGCAGGGAGAGGCCTGGAGGAGCCGGCCAAGTGGTCAGTACGTAATCACGCTCGTCATTTGTTCAGTACATACACATCATGAGCTTGAAATCCATAAGTCTTTACTTCTAGTATTAAAACTCCTGAAATTACTTAGTACATACACCTATTTTACACACACATTTACAGTTGGGAGTCTGTGAATCAGTTGTTTATTATTTATTATTGTATTATTCCTGTGTATTACAACTGTAAACCTACTTTTGCCCACCCCAGTATGCTGTGTGAACTCCAAGTACACCATGGTTTTTATAAAAAGCCTTAAATTCCTATTAAAATTTCTGCATTTACACTAAAAAAATTTTAAAAATCTGGAAAGTATCAGTACAGATGGGGAACTGCTCTGAAGCTGGAGATGTCAGTGCTGTGCTCCTGTCGGAAGTCTTCAGATTACGCGTCATTAGCCTGAGGACACACCGCCCACTCAGAGTCCAAGACGAGAGAACTGAACCCACCCACTGCACCTCGCGTTTTCCATCTCCTGCTCACCCAAAGAGTCATCTAACTTGAGCCTTTGCCATTGGCAATACTTTAACAATCTAATTTTTAAAACTGCTTTTTAAAAATTAAAATGTAACATGCACTCATAAATGTGCTCGAATTTTAAGTATCAACTTATTTACAAACGAGATCAGTATAACCATCACAACTTTAAAACATGGGCAGAACCCCCAAAAAGTCTACCGTAACAGCTCCCTTTCAAATAGTTGTGTATCCATTTAAAAAACGCTGCAGGGATATACTATAAAGATTTATAGAACTTAGCTATAAATATGACCTTGGCCTTCTGTGTTCTAATTTTTGTCATCGCAGTCATTATGTGTTTCTTTCGTAATAAAAACAGCTGCTTTGAATGTTTTTAGAGACATTTAATTCTTCAAAAAAGCTTCCCCTGATGTAAGGCAGCCCAGTAGACCTTCATTTTTCGTTAGAAGGTCCCTAGCACTTCACAGATATGTTCTCCTGCGACACAGGTAGAGCAGCTCTAGGACAGGAAGGTAACCTCGTCCCTCTCATCTGTTCTCCTTAGCAACCATACCATGCACTGTAGACAGCAGATGTCTCACTATATAAAACTGAAGGGGTTATGGCACTAATATTCATATTCGTATAGACTACAAGTATGATGCAGTAGGACAAAAAAATTACTCTTCCCAAAACTAAGAGTTAAATGGCCACTTAAAAAATGCCAGAAGGTGAGGTCTCTGGTGAAAGATGGCAGTGAGGTAGGTGGGAGCTGAACCCACTTACTCCTGCACCCAACCGGGACACTAGCCAATCTCCTGAAGAACAGCCAAAGAAATCCCAGCTTACATGAAATCTGCAAGCCAAAGACTGCAGAGGCTGACCCCGGGACCTCCGCTGCACGGGAGCTTTGGAGGAGAGCCGCAACGGCGACTGTAACCTCGCAGCTCCCTCCCCACACAGGGCAGGGCGGCCAGTCCCACACCAGGAGAGCCCCGGATGCTTCCGGTCGCTGCGGGGATGAAGACACAGAGGGAGACTCAGCAGCCGGCATCCTGGCTGGGTCAGTAGCAGGAACACATCACAAGACAAAATGAAAATACTATCCTACACAGATGACTCAGACAACAAGAACGCATCTCATGTGTTTATAAACCCCCGCTGCATCTGCACCCCTGTCCTCCTTACCCCTGGGAGCTGCCGGAGCTGCTCGGTGGACTGGTCTTCACGGCACTGGTGGGCGAGGGCACAGACATGCTGTTGTCACTGTCCACGGACAGGTCGAGGCTGTTCTCACTCACCGGCGTCAAACGGACGCCTTCTGCTGAATGCTGCAATTGATAAAGTATCTGATCAAACACAGCTGTTACTTTTATCCAGTGGACAGATTCTATGTAACTGGTGATGGCTACTAAAAATTTGTAACCTCTGTTATGAAAGCTAGGAGTTATGCTGACTACAAAAGGCAAAGATTTGAGAGACCCGCACTCCTAACTTCTAAGAGGTCTACAACTCGACTAAAGTTCTTCTGGGGGAGAAATGCGACAACGGAGTGTCACACTAAACGTACACGCTGAATGTAACAAACACTGCAAATTAAAATGTACATAAAGACACATGGGTCCTATATTTGAGGGCTTAAATACACACACACACATTATTAGAAAAGTCTTTTAATAATGACATGTTAACCGTGAATATCTCTAGCTAGCAGAATTAGAAAAAACTGTTTACACATTTTAAAATTACTGAATAACAAAATCTGTATAATTTCAAAAAAAGTGCCAGTAAGTACAATTTAGTGCCACTCCGCTTTGGAAACACCAAGCCTCTCCCGAGAAGAGGCCTCTTCCTGCTCTTACTGTAACTCAGGGTCACCACGGTGTGATCAAGGGGGCAATGAGCCCACAGAAAAGAGCATTTTCTGACAACTAAACTGCACATCCACCCACAAATCTGAATGTTGGCCCTTCTTAAAAAGCATTCAAATATCGGAAAACCAAAACAAAGCTAAAAAACCGTAAGTGGTTCTAAGGATAGAAGTTGATTTTCAAAGTGACTTAAGTTTCAATTTCAGAAATCAGTGCTATTATAATATCAAATTTACGTCTTCAACGTCTTTTTTCCCCCAGGATCCTTTCAGCCCCACTGTTCACTTACCTACAGAAACATTTTAATGGAAGCATTTGCACTGTTGACAAAACCCACATCCTGTGTGTGCGCACATGTGTGCTCTACAGACACCACTCGTGCGCATAAACACACACAGACCCAATGGGGGAAGGTGAGGAGGTCTGGCCGGAAGGAAAGCGGAGAGCATAATGCCACCTGCTCCGAAGTTCGCTGTGATGCAAATTTCCTAAGATTCTAATGAGCCTCTTTCCTATCCAAAAATTACTCCCAATCTTACTCTCCTCCAGAAAAGGATCTGTTCGGTGAATTACATTCAACTCCAAATAGTCACCTGCATGCCCAGGTGATCAAACCCTGTGAGGTAGCAGGGCACTTGGTAGGGAGGACCTGTAAACCTGGAAGCTTCACCTGGCTGGACGGAACAGGAAACAGCATTAAGCTGCTTTGCCTCAGGATCTACTTCTACGTGTGTGCGTCTCTGTGGGCACGAGAGACTCTGTGCTAAGAAACCATAAATATTCTGTCACGGCTCTCTGGTCGGATAAAGACAGAACAGACCACAGAGAAAAACACACATACACTTTGCACGGAGACGGAGATCCAGCTCACACCTCGTACCACCGGACCCTGGGCAAGTTTTCTAACCACTCTGTTTCTTCCACAACACAGACCATTCCTACGGGCTTGCTGTATCGTTAATTAAGTCAGTAAAAAAAACAAATAAATAAAACTTGTACGTTGTGCTTTGCAAAAAGCAGTTAATAAAAGGAAGCTATAATAAGAATCCAATGAAAAGATTCATAGATGTAAACTTGTAGATAGTTGTTATTTATAAAAAGAAGAAAAATGCTCATTCTATGAGTAGAAAGTTGAAAATAATTTAAATTATATCAGAGGATAAGTTTGCTCACTATAGCCACACAAATAAATATTAAGCAGCCATCAGTACTTACAATGTAATTTGCATAGGTAACCACAACACAGCAAGCACCAAAAAAAGGTCACGAAATGGTTATCATCAAAAACTGTTTTAAAATACCTAACTACATGTGGTTGCATATTTGCACTAAATAGTCTATGTAGAAATAAACTAAAATGTTAAGAGTAGCTATCACTGGGAGACTATAGTTAAATGTTACTCAATAAATATAATTCTTGGACTAAGCAACAACTTTCTGATCATTAATGATTCCTTTTGTATTCTAGAAGATTATATCTACTTTACTACCTTAAGAAAAAGAAAATAAATAAAACCTGTTCCAAGTATCAATACTGCCACGTAAACAGGAGTTTTAAAAGGCAGTCTGAGCCCTGGCTCATGTGGCTCAGTGGACTGAGTGCCAACCTGCAAACCAAAGGGCCGCCAGTTCGATACCCAGTCAGGGCACATGCCTGGGTTGCAGGCCAGGTCCCCAGTAGGAGGAGGCAGGCATAAGAAGCAACCACACACTGATGTTAAAAAAAAAAAAGTAATCTGAATCCAAAGTTCTGGTAAATCTAATTACCTCAGTGATAAATAGCTTTTTAATAGAACAGAAACAGTTAAATAACATTATTCACATTTATTTGTGAAAACATAATATGTATTCTTTTTGTAATGTAGTAATTACACAAGTATGGCTGCTTAAACCCATTAATAATATAATATTAAGGGACAACTAGAAAACAAATACTTGACACTTTAAAATAAAATTACTTCACAGTAAGTTTTGTTATATATATTTTATGACAAAGAATAAAAGAAAAAGAAAAAACAAACATTGCTCAAGAAAGGAGTAGTATATTTTTAGCACTTTCTAGATTATTTAGTTAATTCATGAAGCCGTTAGGTTGAGAAAGAAGTAAGTTAAGCTACATACAGGTTTTAATGTGATGTTATTTTTTTTAAGTTAAAAAAATTGCATTTTAGACCCCCCCCCAAAAAAACAACAAAAAACCAAGCAAGTAGCCCAAGTTCAGTGACTAATGATGATGGTGATGGTGGTGATGACGACAGAAACAAAGGAAGCGTTTACTCTGGGCCAGGTACTCGTCTAAACAACCTTTCACAGGTATTGACTCATTTCATTCTCACAAAATACCCAGTAAGGTAGATAAAAATTATATGCTGATTTTAGAGATGAGGCAAATTAAGAACATGATGTTTGTTATCAAACTTGCCCAAGTTTCAAAGCTAGAAAATAGCAGAACCTGAAATTGAACCAGGAAGTCTTCTCAAAGCCATTGCCCTTGACCGACAGACTTGCATTACATCATGTTTCAAGTTTTAAGAAACAAAACACTGTGAAGTTGATGGCCACTCTGTACTGATTGCTTTATTCCTCTTTTCCCAGCCCCAGCCAATCAACCGTTATGATGAGTGGGTGGTAACTGTTCTCTAATATATGGTATTATTTCATAATTGCTTTTAAATCATGTATTGTTTTACATTTTTTAAACTGGTAAACTTTATATAAACATATCAAATAGTACATATTCATCTGTACCTTCTTAAGTCACTTAATATGTAGCTATAGCTCATTTATTTTCACTGCTACGTTTAAGTATTCCATTATAGGAATAAGTCATCGATTTCTGAAACCACATAAAGAAAGAATGTAACTGCTGTCTGTGAATTAAAATCCCACTATGTGCCCTGTTGTGAGCCTGAGTAAGGAAAAGGCTGTAAGTTATTCAACAGGAAGCACTAACAACAAAGCAAAATACAAAGCATTAACTCCCGTTACCTCTGTTAGTGATTTTTGTATTTGGCAACTTTTGAAATTTAAATAAAATACATGTATAATTCTTACCAAAATAAGGTCATTTTCACTTAAAAAGTCATCTAATTTCCTTGATCTACGTAAATACCTAATTTAATTTGTTTACTTTTGAAAGGAAAGGAAATGAGATATTTATGTGGAATTACATAGGTAAGAACAAAAGATTTTTAAAAGAATCTAAGTAAATATAAAATAAGGATATGAAACATCACCACTAACCTTTCTAAAGTCTGAAGCAAGTTAGTGCAGGAAACCTGACTAGGAACAAGGTTTCATATAATGGAATGGATCCACTTAAATTTTAAAAATGCTGTGATCTATTTCAAATATAACTAGTTCACTAAGCCTAAATTTGTGAAGTACTGATAGCCTCTATACATAAAATAGTGTATTAGGAATGCTTTTGTAAGTACTTTCTAAATTTACCTTTTTCTTTTTCTGAAGCACATGATTAGGTAGTAGTTCATGGAGTTGCTTTCTTTTTACATGCATTGCAGCAATTTTCATGTCCACCTCAAACATCTTGCTGTTTATTGCTTGCCTATAAACTACACAATTAGGAAATTGTTACAAGAAATAGAAACATTTTAATAAAGGCAGTTAAACTCATCCAGGAGAAGCTGTTCTAAACAGGGGTCCTTTTTACATCAGTACTTCATATATGTAAAAGTATCAGAAGACCTCTCTCTACTGACAAGCCATTGCCTGAACGAACTCTAAGTCCCTTCTATCGCAAGGTCATGATCATAATGAGTAAAAGCACAAAATTTATGAATTCTTCCAATGTAATAACTCAAAGTGATAACTTAAAAGAGTAACTCTTTAAGGAACATCGGAATTGGAGTAAAAGGGATTCTTAAATCCATATGATTTTATGCTCCCAGTAAAATTTTCAATTCTATTCTAAGTAACAAACACAGCAAAACAAAAGTCAAACTTATTTAAATACACCTAAAGATACCTTTTAAGAATCTGCAAGATAAAATTTTAAAATAGCACATTTTCTATTACAGAAATAAGTTACATAGGTCACAGGAACAAGAATAATATGCTAAAATAAGTAAATCCAAATAATTTAGTTCAAGAGGGCGCCCAAAATGGAAAAATTCATTCACTCAAACAACAAGTGTTTATTCAGTGGCTATACTGTGTCACACTGTTCTAAACACAGGAGATCTACAGCACGGCACAGAGACCAAAGTAAGTTCAGAGTCTACAATCAGAAGGGAAAATATCCTGAACAGAAAAAAAGTACGTAACTAAAAGTTATCCTGTGAATGCAGGGCTTAGGGGCAGCAACCTCCCAGGAAGTCAAAAATAGGGATATAAATTTAGTCAGCCCTCCACATACAATTCCCAACCACAGAGCTGACCCCTGAACGTGGGTCTGAACTGTGGGGGTCAACTGGAAAATTCTGCATATAAGTGGACCTCTCGGTGCAAACCTGTGTTGCTCAAGAGTCAACTGTACTTCCTATCAGACATAACAGGTGCTACGGAAAACCACTGAGCAGGGAAGAAAAGAAGCTCAGCCTGGAAACTAAGATTACACCTGAATGGAGACTTAAATGAAAGTGAGGAAGTGAGCTGACAGTACCTGGTGGAATAGCATTCCAGGAAGAGCAAACATCAAGGACAAAATGTCCTGAGTGGAGAGCATGCCTGGAATGTTTGAGGAACAACAAAGAGGCCGTGGGGAAGGAGGAAAAGCAGAGATCAGTAATCCTGTATCTGCAACTCCACAACCCCAAAAGCTCCCACCCAACACAGAAGCTTTCGCTGAGACTGGTACCAGTACTCATTTGCCAGCAAACCCCTGACCTGAACCATCTGTGGCTACTGGCCTCTGCCTGTGCAATGTGACTATCCGATGGTTCCCTGCAGAAATGTCGCTGTCTCTGACTACAAGTTCAGCTTGAGGCCCTGGAATGGTACTAACTTTATTACCTTTCCGGTCCCAAGACACATGGATAAAAAAATTCTGCACTTATAATAAAATATGAGGTCAGACATAATGCAAAAGTCAGATCGGATAGTTTTACAAACCGCAGTAAAGACTTGGGACTTCTATTCCCAGTGACATGGATAGTCATTACAGGTTTTAAACAGGCGAGATGTGACTTCATTTAATGTCAGTTCAGACGCTAACCAAAGGAGCTGAAGGGTGAGGGCAGGGCGGGGACCCTACAGCAACAGCAGTAACCCGACCGAGCAGGGGGAAATGGCCCGGACTAGGCTGACAGCAGAAGAAATACCGATTAGCGGAATCTCAATGTGTTCTGAAAGTGCAGGCAAAACAACTTTTTAATGAATTTATATCAAGTACAGCAGGTCCTTGAATAACATCATTTCATGATGCTGTTGAGGGAAGAACAACGGATTCCTGACCAGGACCGCTGTCCGTGTGCCCTTTGCAGGTTCTCCTGGTGTCTGCACGAGGGTTCACCCCACGTCCCAGAGACGTGCAGCTAGGCAAACTGGAGGATCTAATTGTTCCAGTATGAGAGTGGGTGTGTGTGTGACTGAACCCTGCAACAGAAGGGTGTCCTGTCCATGTGGGTCCCACCTGGTGCCCTGAGCTGCCAGGAGAGGCTTCGGCCACCAGTCACAGTGAATTGGAATAAACGGAAATAATTATCTGACTTGATTTTATTAATCTTTCTTAAATGTATGGATAGCTCACATTATTTCAATGCTTAATATTACAAGTGTTTAGGATCTTTATTTAGAAGTTTGGTGATGTTTCTGAGACCAGAACTATGTCACAAAACTTAACTCACGTTTATGTCAATTAGCCTATGGTTAAAACTGTGTTCTTTATACATCATTTCACTTCAAGTCAGTTTCCAAGAATCTGTCAAGGACCCTGAGGACTCATTATTTGAGAAAACCTAGAGAGAAAAAGGGGTCCAATTTTTCTAGCTTGAACAACTACAAGAATATAGCTGTCAAAATCTGAGATCAGAAAGATCTGAAGAAGTTGGAAGAGACTGGATGTAAGAATTTGAGTTTTGAACATGTTGAATTTGTTTATTACCAAATCCCCAAAAGTTTTCCATTAAAATGTTTCAAGATACAGGACAACTAAGTATTTCTTAACCCCCAAACCTGAGAGTTCCTTGAAAATCTTGATGGTTCTTTAATACAATCTTTGATAAACAGCTCAGCTGAGATTCAAAGTACAAACTTTCTAATTCAAGAATCTTTACAGGAGTTGTCAGTTCACAAATAGTTTAACTTGACGTCAGTTTTTACTCTGGGGAAAAACACTTCTGTCGTGTTCAGCAGGTGGAGCTACAACCCTCTGATTCACACCCCAGAAAACCTGTGTGAGTACGTGTGCTGTCTCAGTAACCAAGGGTTACTACTTGCTATGGACACTTAATATCCTTCAATGAGCTTCTCACAACAAAGGATTCTACCATGTCCTACATTCCCAAAGAGAAAACACATACTTAGCAGTCATCTGAACCAAGAACTCCATTCTACATAAAAACAGAAGTGTTTTAACCTGGGTTTCTGGGGATGCAGCCACCAGATGTGCCACATGGCAATGGACTCACAGCCAGGTCACTGACATGGGTCTTCAGTCATCATACCTATGCATTTATATACTGAAATACACAGCATTTTCCTTCTATTTTTCCTTTACATTTAGTGTATGATGCTGATTTTTCAACAGATTAAACCAATGTTGTCTCTCCTTCTCCAAATGAAAAACTTGTGATGCTAAATCTGAATCTCTTTAGCAGAAAACTCCCTAATGGGGGCAGGTAGAGATGATACCCACTAAAGCTTTTTAAAGCAGAAGGAACAGGAGAGGTGTCTGAAAGAAAGACTAGTCCCTGAAAAGATGCAGTTCACCGCCGTCTGTAGGCACACGCACCCAGCCCTCGGAAGGTGGCGCATACCGGCCTGAGCCTCTGCCAACCACATCTACCACTGGGTCTTCCGAGAGCGCTGCCCGCGGGGTCTCAGGGCACAGGCCACTCCGAAGGGAACCTCTACTCATCCTACCGCCCCCAGGAGCTAACACTGGCATCGACATTTGACAGGACAAATTTCCTTCAAGTCACCAAAAGTTCCGCTCCAAACATTTCTAAGATTATTAATAAGGCAGTCAGACACAGATTTGGTCTTCTAGATAATCAAACATCTAAGTGGTTTCTAATAAGTAATTGTGGACAACCCAAATTTAAGATGGTTCTACTTAAGTCTACCACAACAGGAAAAAAAATCATCTATTAGCATTACTGAAACTAATTAACTAACCCCCAAAACATTAAGATTATTTTGATCATTATTGTTCACTATTCCCGATTATAATAGTTATTACAAACATCACATTATACAATAAGACAAATTCAAATGTTGGATTACCCGAGCAGAGATATACCTGTATCTGTGAAAGACTGAATGTCATAGGTGAGATCAACACTGAGATTTTCAGAGTTTTCGGTTTTTTTAAACACTAACCCAATCACCCACATCGTGCGAAATTCTTCCCTGAAAAGTAAGAAGAGTATTACTAGTTAATCAAGATTTCATAAAAATACAGTTATCAAGGCGAATGACAACCTGAGATATGTGGCAAAACCTGAAATGTAAAGGTATAAACTAAGTAAACCTCTAAGCCCAAACTCCATCAAAACTCAAGTCCTCCCACACACCTAATCTTTATATTTCTATTGATACAGAAACAATCAGAACACTAGGACAAATATACTTGTATTATCCATTCACTGGCAGCCAACTTTCTTAATGATGACTCTAAAGTACTAGCCACATTGTAAACAAGGAAAAATCATGTTCAAAACAATGAAGGAAAGGGGATTAACATATTGCAGGGAAAAAGTGAAACAAGAGAGGATATTCTAGATACAAAAACTGAACTGGAACTTTATATTCCTTAAATTAGTTAAAACTCAGTTGAGAGGGATATAAGGGTTAGGGCTATGGGAAAAAACCCATGAAGACTCAATTAAAAACCTCGATTGAAAAGGGCACAGGACCAGAAAGGTGATGGCAGCATGACAACGGAACAAGGGTGACCGGTTACCTGTGCACATTCAATGGCACATCTACTGAAGGGACCCTATAGCCTGTCAATAATGCGACTGCAGCAGCAAAAAAATGGTAAGCAGCTCAAATCACACTTTTTTACATGATTACAAAAAATAACCTGCATAAGTAGTCAGAGCAACAGCCATTCTATCACAGCAGTCCTACATGACTCGCTCCCCTGCACCTTCAATCTTTCTTTAATGCTACTGTTTTTAAATAAAGTCCGTCGCTCAAACTCCCTTCACCCTCCAAAAGCAACAAAGCACACAGAGCAGAGTAGAATCCCAGATAACACAGCAAGGAGCAAACCCGAAATTGACCTATAGAGGACACCTGAAGGTAGGAAGTCGGCCTGCTTTGGATGTATCTTCTCATTGGTCCAGAATACATCACAAACCAGACTTTTACAAGGTTGAATCCAAGTATGTTATCTTTAAAAAATTAATACAAAAAGCAAAAACTGACGCTTGGTGTTAAGAGTATTCTGATAACCACTATACCAAACAGGACGAGAGAGAAATGGCGAGAAATGCTAGTGGGCAGATCTGCAGAAACTGAAGTTAAAAGGCACCTATTCATTACAGACTATTATCAGTTATTTTAGTCGTAAACTTTTCTCAAGGAATAATTTTTTTCCTCAATGATTTTGATCAGGAAAACATACACTATCAATCTCAAATTGGTTTTGAGCCCCATATATACATTAACAGTGACCTGTTATTAAAATTTGCCTATAGATGCTTCTATAAGTAAAAGCTGAAAATAGGAAGAGACCAGATTAAGTCATAAGACCGCTTACTTGTCAGGACTTTCTTTGGGCGCTGGAAATGACTGGGGGTTCACGTGAGCCAGTGTAATAAACTCATTCTTCTCCAAACTTCCAACCAAGATTCGGATTTTTGATTCCACCAAGCCCACCCTGAACAAATGTCACTTAGTATTAATAATAATTCTGGTTAATTTGAAAAAGTGAAATAAAACACACACAATCGAATGTTTATGCTAAGCAGTATTATGAAAAAGCATACTTAAACACACAGGGGGCAGTTCAACTGTCTGAACCCCACAGATAAAACCAAAGCCTTATGCTCCACCCAAAAATGCTGAAGAAAAACGGGGGGAGAAAAGAAACCACATTTCAAACTAGGAAGTTTACAGAAGACATCTTAACAAATATTTAAAGAAAAAAATGAGTAAGCTAAACTAAAGCCTCTTTTTTAAAAAAGCACTTTAAACATACAGTTAGGAAATGATGCATGGATAAGGCAAACAATGAAAAACAGGTGCATCTGAATATCCCCAATTCCTATACTTCTACTGTTAACAGTAAAGTTCCATTTATGAATAAAACCAAACTGACTGTTTTAAGGACTTCCACCTCCTACTGTGCTCTGAGGCTATCTGATTCATTTTGAAGTTTCGTTTTTTCTGTAAAGTCTAATCTTGTACTTACCATTCTAGGCGTTGTTTTTCTGTTGGTGCACTTGCTAGAAGTACAATATAATGCCTTTGAAGATAAAGACAACATGCTATTTATTTTATTTAAGTGCTTTAAGCTGGACATTAAACCATACTATAATAAGCTTCATGAGTTATATATCAGCATCAATTTAGTAAGGGTGAACCGCAATATCGGTATGTACATAAAATCATAAAAGCTAAGGCCCCAAATTTCTGTAACTACTGGCAAGTCTTATTCCTCTGCCAGTAGAGGAATGTAAATAATTACATTATGAATAATTACCCAGAAAGTAGCTTAACTCAAGAGTGCTGCACAAACATGAAACAACACTGTGGCTCAGTGACTGCAGTGGGTGCTTTACCTACAGAGTCAACTGGCTGCTCACTAGGACAGGATCTGCCAGACCAAGGTTATTTCAATGGAAACAAAGCAAGGAGGTTGTAGCCACAACAAAACACTAAGTATACATATGACACTGATAACTTCAAAAAACACTTATCAAACACATGCTTTCTAATGCAAATGTAAAGGCAGTGAACATTAAACCCAAGTTCATTAACACTGAAGTTAGGCCTCAAGACTTTTTTCAAGTACCTGAATAAACTTTTCTAACAAAGAAGCAGATACCACTAATGTGAGAGCATCAAAGAATCTGCTTTGATCAATTCCACAGAAATGAGAGAAAAAGTTTTAATTTTAGAAAATACCATCATGGCCAAATTATCAACTTGAAATTTTTAAAACAAACTATACCTCAAGTATAATTCATATTTAACTCAATTTCTTGGGACTGAAACAGTTCAGTCCAATACTCTTCTACAGAATCCATTTTAGAAGTGATGGAAGCCAAACTTCCTAGCGGAACTTTACTTCAAAAAGCAAACCGACACCATTATCTGGTGTGGATACGGTTTGAGAAGTCACAGCTAGACCAAAGATTTTAAGTTCCTTTATTCTTTCAAAAGGCTGAAACCTTTAACATTATCTTTCACGTTTTGTAAATGAAGACTTCTGGCCAAATGCAAATGTATGACTTGGACCCAGAAAAAAACTAGCTGCCTCAGTCCAATTAGCAACCCTCCACCCCTTCCCCACCAAAGGCATTCTGGCAAGGGACGCTGAAGATTTGGCAAATTTAAACATTTTTTTAACCAAACTCCCTCAAAACAGACTATTTGATTATTTATGCTCAAAAGTATTTGAAAGAAAATATTTCCGATTCTTCACAGCTGTGTAACCCAGACCTAAGCCTTGCTTGGGTCCATCTGTACAGTGGGAAGACACTGGTCTCAATGGCACTGGAATTGTGAAATTCAAATGAGTCAACTTCCAAGTATTTTTAAATATTCAGCAATGGAGGTAATATATGTATGTACAGAAACATATAGTCAGATATATGAATATGCAGTCCAAATCCACACAGACTAGTATCAATACTTCCTTTACCAGTTTAATTTGTTCAGCATCATTTGGAGCAAAACCAAATAGTTGACCCTTGAATAACACAGATATGAACTGCACAGGTCCACTTACGTGGATTTCTTTTTTCAATAAATACTGTAAATGTATTTTCTGTATGACTTTAATAACGTTTTTCTCTAGCTTATTTTATTGTAAGGCTGGAATATACAATACCTAACAAAAAAGACACATTCGCCAATTGCCTATGTTGTCAGTGAGGCTTCCAGGCAACAGTCTGCTATCAGTAGTTCAGATTTTGGGGGGTTAAAAGTTATACAGAGTCCCACCACTTTGGGGTTTTGGTGCTCCTGACCTCTGTATTTTCCAAGGGTCACTGTATGTAGAGCAAGCACAGATGGACCAAATAAATCACATGGAAGCACTTTTTAAAAGCTCATGCATTTTATGTACACAGAAACCTGTTCTCAAGACCCTAAATGCTCTTAAATCAAACAAAATCCCAGGAAGATCAGTAACCTTATTTCCAGCTTTCTGGGAAATGGAAACTGGGAACAGATTATTTAAAAAAAAAAAAAAAAAAAAGGAAGGGTAGGAGGAGAAAGAGCTCTGACAAAGTGCAACTTACAACAGGAGACAAGAGTATACAAAGCATGCACTAAAAAAAAAACCTCAAAAAGAGCAAAGTTGTCTGGGTTCGCCTAGTTTGGGAACAAAACTTGCCTTCTCTAACTTGCTTTACCACACCATTAAAATGGACATTCTTAATGACCACCTGAGTCTTCAACAAAAGCTTAAATGATGTACCATGTTCTCTATTTACTAAGGCAAATATACAACCCATATAAGCATGACTTTGTTGTCAATTCCAAGGTTTCAAGTTTTGAAGCTTAAAAGCTCAACTTTGGTTCTTATTGAACTGGAGGGAGTGTATCTACTCTCAACACTAACAGCATACAAAGGCTTTGGTTTCAACACAGCTGAAAGGGTTAAACAGCCAGTATTTATGCTGAGGTTAAATGTCATTTACTCAGCCACATTTAAGCATAGTTAAAGTATTAGAAACAAAATACAGTAACTAATTTTAGTAGAAATAACCTGCTCTTAGGAACTATTTATAAAACAAAGACTCAACCATCTAAGAAACTGAAAAAAAAAAAAAAAAAAATCCAGACTCAATTTAGTTTTAAAAATTGGAATTGGTAATCAGTTCCTCAAATCCATATCAGAGCACAGACTAAGTAGTACTTCTAATTGTGACTATGGTGTTGCCGTTCCAAAACACATGATCCCCTATTTCACACTGCCACCATCATGCCCACAGGGCTCAGATGCCTCCAAGAGACATTTTCAAGTCTTAATGTAATTGTGAGTAACTTGTCCCTAAGTTGAAAGATTATCAATTCCAAATAATAAATTTAAGTATATCCCATATGAAGTAAAGTCTATTTAAAAATTCCTAAGAATACTTAATTTAGTTGCTATTATTACTTAGTAACTATTTATCCTCCCAAAAACATCCTGTAAGTCAGCAGGTTTCCTGGCCATTTTATCACATTAATATTTTGCCTGGGCAGATCACAGCTCATATGTATGTGCAGTGGAAATTTAATGATCTCTTAGGCAAAAAAAAAACCATGCAGTTCCATCTTTAAGTAACTGAGGACCAAATTACAGTTCACTGCTTTTAGTTTTTAAAATATTTTAAGGCTAACATATTCTATACATGTATATTCCTTGAAATTATAAACTATTAATCTTACACCTCAGAGAACATTCTGGCTTTTCTAATACCTTTCCTTCCTTGTTTCCTAGTGAAATGAAACACCTGAAATATGTATTCGCATTTCCTTCGTCAATAATGATTAAGTGTCCATTTGAGTACCACTCAAGGAAAAATATAAAAAATACTTTTGTGGGCCTATTTAAAATTTTACAAAGCGATGCTACCCCTTTTCACAAGGAACACTGATCTCTTCTGCAAGATGATTTATCTTAAAAAGCAAGACAGGAATTCCTCCATGGTTCCCTCCCTTCCAAGAATGGCAGGCAGGGAGGAAATGCAATTTAAAATCCTAGACATAAAAGATATTTGCAGGATATACTTCAGATAAGATCTAACCAACATGGACTCAAGGAAAAACTAAGAATTTCAATTTAGTTGTACAGCCAATCTTTGGAGTACTTCATTGCGTAAAAAGAAAATTTCAGATATGTGAATACCTACAGGGGTGTCCAACCTTCTGGCATCTCTGGGCCCCCTGGAAAAAGAGTTGTCTTGGGCCACACATGAAATACACAAATACTAATGAAAACTGATGAGCAAAAATAAATTTAAAAGAAGGCTTTAAGTACATTGCCGATTTTGTGCTGGGCTGCACACAGCTGCTGAGTAATAGTCTAATAAAAGTATTTACTAGAAATTCAAGGAGGAAAATGTTTGAAATACAATTTGCTATAAATAAAATTAGCCCACTGTTACCATGTTTTAAAATCTAGGCCCATAGCTGAAAACTTTTTTTCTGATATAATTTCCTGTTTGTTGCTACATCCTTACATCTAATTGTGTTTAAAGTCATTTGTGATAACCTAAAATGATTTGTTTCAAGAGAATTCAGTAAAGAGAGTAATCTGTCTTTTCATCAGATCAACTGAGCTCACAGGTACTATCTGACATAGACAGCAAACACCCTAAAAGTTTTAAAAGATTGAGCAAACTTTAAGAAACCTTCTAAGTTCTAGCAATACACATTTACTTAAATGAATAACCCTATCAACTTTTGTTCGATTTCAACAATAATCTTTCTTAAAATGAAGGCAGACATTTAAGTACTTCAGAATATTTCATTCTACCCACCTCTCATCCTAAAAGGAAGTGAGATAGGAAAAAGAATCTCGTTTCATCTTTGATTCTCAGGAATTAAGAGATGCTGATACTTTTCTACAAAACTAACGTATTATTCTCCGTAGAAGTAATTATGTACTCTATTATGTAGTTTTAAAGTATCAGAATATGTGTTCATTGGTTTGTTCAAAAGCACTTCCTCAACACTGGCTCCAATAAAAAACAAAGAAAAACCATCTGCCAAATGGAAAAGCACCACGTGCGAGGAGTGCGGAAGGACAAGAGCGTTCTGTGTTGCGCTACTTAGATGTCTACTGACAAAGCCGTGCTCCCAGAACAACAACGAAGCTGGCTCCACCACTGCTTTTCATGCAAAAGATACAGAAACAAAACACAGAGACGTCATGATGGTCATCAGTATCGTTTTAATTGGGGAAATAGCATAGAGCAATCTTGCTTCGATTATTACAAAAACACAATCCACAAGATCAAATGGTCAGGAAAGTTTCAAGCATAAAAGAAAAAAAATTTAAGTGGGACTTTGGCAAATTTTCAGCTCAGGGCAAATAAAAGTGCAAGTCCATTTTTTTAAAAGATTTATTGTAACTTACAATTTTCATCAAAACCAACACAATCAGGCTTTTAACCTGTACTAAGGTGTTAAACCATTATATTAAAACCGTTAGTAAAAACTATTACCCCCACTTAGATTCCAAAAAAAATTATTTGTGTAAGTATTTGAAGGGGCTTTATTAATATTGGGGGAAAGTGTAGGGCAATCCTATATACCATAACTATTAAAAATATTTGACTATATATTGACATTTTGTTAGCTTTGCCTATGTTATAGAAAATCTTAATGATAAATACATTTCCAAAAATACCTGAAATTACTCAGCTTAATACATAATATTAACTACAAATTTTAAAGTTCACTCCTTTGCCAAGATATACAGATTCTGAGATTGGGTGAGGACTAACATGTGCCTATGAATTGATGTTGCTACAAATGTAATAGCAGATCAGTTTCAGAAGGCAGCAAAAGGTAGGTAGTAGGGGCCAATCTTTACCTTGACAGATAAAAAAAATAAAGGGTTTAACTGAAAACAGTACGCCCTTTGTGACAACAAAAGTTCTAAGAGGATGTTTAAAGGAAAATTCAAAACTCCGTTAGTCTAGCAAGAAGAGATTTCACATATGCAACCAGTACTTAAGAGAGCAACATGTCCGACATGCCTTAAAATACATACTTGTACTTTTGAAAGAAGTTTGGAGCTTCAAAAAGTTTGGACCACTCTCCCTTACTCAGCAAAATTTCATCTGTGATAGCAAGACCTAAATTAAAAACATATTAAAATGTTTGCATGGTTCACTCTAACAAGCTGGAGTTTTAAAGATCTTAAACATACATGCGTTCACTATAACCCTAAAATAATTTTAATGAAAAGCAGTTTTAGTCTATGACTTTAGAGCATGAAGATTATTACATACACACACTTTTCCAAAAACCTAGAGGATTTTTTGAGAACCAGGTGCCTGGTAAATGACCATTACTCTACAATTCCATGCTCACAGAATGACTCTCCTCATTAACTGAAGCACCATAGTTGCCCAAGACATTCTTCCCAAAAGCTTTTGTCTTGTCTTTTTAGAAACATGCTCCCTGCTGATTCTAAACGGACAGCAATATCTTCCCATGAAGAGCCTGTTTAGACTAGAGAGATTTACACTTTGAGTCTGAAGCTGGTCACTACACAGTGGATTCCACAGCCCAAACAGACAGCCGTCAAACTAAAAAACCCTGTTCCAGTAACTTCCCTCAAAAACTGTTCGGCAACGGCTCTTCCCTCAAATTAACGGTGCTACTGGGATTCCAAAACCTCTAGAGGTTTTTGCAAAATAGGTAGTTTAGACCCAATCCTGCCTAAAGCTCTTCCCAAGAATACAGCCCTGCTAAAAATACATCTCATGTCACCCAGTGGAGACAAACTCTAATAGCATGGCACTAACCCAGCCGCTAAAGGCCCTGCTAAGAATATGGCTTTAAATATTGGTAAATCTTACAAAATATAATAAAAATAAATTGCCCAAAGGGAATTCAACTAAGTTTTTCAAGTCAATGCATAAATCTCTATTGTAATCAATGAATAAAAACACTACAATCCACCTAGTGAAAGCTTTCTTCAATTTAAACTGCAGACCTGACTACGGGGCCCGCGACAGCGAGGCAAACCCTCTGTGCATAAAGGAGAGAAGGATGACCACTTACCTTGTTTAAACTCCTCAACCATGACCATCCGTGTTGAAACGGACACATTGTACGTGGAGTTCTGCTGTGGGTATGCTGGTGTAATTATAGGCATAAGATGGTACCTATCACTGGGGTTTACCTACATACAACAACAGCCAATCAGTTTCTTCAAGTACATATGCAACAGATACTCGGACTTTTTACCCTTTAAAACTGAACCAATGATTAAATTTTATTTCATTCATAGCTGGAGTTGAGAAAGAAAACCATGTAAGGAGACACTTTTTAAGGGAGTTCTTTACAGAATCAGGATCTGGTCTGGACGAACCGTCTGTCCCAACCACTCGGGCACGACCACGGTGGCAACCTCACTAGAGACAGTGTGCCTGGCGGGCAAGGGGCTCTGCGTGGGCAGGGGCGGTGTCACACTTCCTTGTTCTCCACAAGAGAAATGGGGGTGCGCACACTTTTGAGAATGTCATACTCCCATATTCTGTGCAAAATAAACTTTAAACAAGATGAGAAGTTTTAATATACCCTCAACTTATAAAGACTAAGCTTAATTTACATAGCTTAATTTACATGGTGAAACTACATTATCTACATTGGTATCATTTTAAGAGATAATTAAATGATTTAATACTATTCACCTTAATCCATATACTAAGTATAAGTGGCATATTTCCATAAAGAAAATTGTAAACTCACATCCCTCCAAAAATGCCTTGGGATTTGGAAAACTTAAATACATAGCTTGATATAATTAACAGAACTTAAAACTGACAATATTTTTGATACTGTAATAAGATAGCAAAACAATATAGAGAAGTGGAATTTTATAAACCTATAAATCCTTATTCAAATCTAAATATTTTACCCATTGATAAAGTGCATGTTGTTAACATTTAAACTGATTAAGCAATAAAGACCATAACTTCCCAAGAAGCAGAATGGGAGCTCTTCTTTAGCCCAATTGTGTTTTTGTAATCTGAAACACTCAAACCAATTTTTATAATTACATCATAATAAAGTGATATTTCTTAGAAAGTATCTGTCACAGGTAACCATTAAGCAACAGCTTTCCTATACAACCCAATTTTAACAGAATATTTAGATCAAATAAAAAAAAAACAGGGATTTTTAGTATCCTTTTATTTTTTTTAAGCACAAATGCCCACACAACTTTGACTTACAAGGTAGTTCTATATAAATTGTCAGTGACCTTGATATTATAAACTATGTACAATTAAATGTAGTTTACAGGGTACATAATTATGCTTCTCACATCAGAGGACAATTATATTGGAGGTTATCTAAAAAAGAGTGTAATACGAACATGTCCACTCATAGGTAGAAGGATGGAAAGTCTCCCTGAAGTTTATGCAGATGACTTTTACTTGTTATTGCAGTGTGAATTTGTAGGGGAAAAAATAATACACTAACCCTTGGGTCCCATACAGGCAAATTAAGATTGCATTCTTCAGGCTGTTTCAATAGCACTGGATTTGGCCATTCCCTGTTTGAAAAGATTGTAGTACTTGATAAGACTTGGATATTACCATCTAAACGTATTTTGTTAAACATACAGCATTGTGAATGTGACCCTCCTTTATTCATTTTGCCCTCTTGGTAAATAATCTTTTATGCCTGTTGATGTTAGACTACTTGAAATACTTTTTCCTCTATGCAATCATGGTAGCTTTCTTAGACTGAAGTCAAACACCTTCCTCTGCCTCTCAAAGAACTACCCTAAAAAATTGACATGTTCACCTCAACCTTGAACAGGATAAATCCCTCTTGAAAGACAAACATCCTCTCTTTATACTAGGCTCCACCCAAAGACAAACGAGAATGAAAAAGTAAACATTATAGGCAAAGTATAAATAACTATAAAAATTGACTAGAAAAGTTTTCCTCTATCTCAGAACATAAAGGCTGTGAGCATGTGCAATAGTTTGCCGTGAACACGCTATTTTCAAGACGCGCCCTATGAATTAGCTACTCCGTCCTTTACAGAAGAGATCAGAAACTGGGTAGCATATGCTATCCAAATATCAAGATTACTTCTTAAAAATAGTACCTGCTATGTATGTGTAGCATTTAGGAAAAACTCTGACATGCTTTATTTAGTTATTCTCATCAGACCTAATTATGTATGATTAAGTACTATCAACTTGGTCAATAACGGAATGCGTGTTCATTTTGCACAGTCTACATTATCAACTGCATCCAAAAACTCTGGTTTTATAAAGTAACCACACAAGCCTTTCTTCAGAGGGAGGAGATCTAGGAGTTGGCTGGAAGAGGGAGGAAGACAAATCTCTAAAATCAGTGTGATTAAAACCAAGAACCCTAAGCTTTAGGGCCAAAACAACTACTATAAAATGACAATAATCTTTTATCTTACTTTTCTTAAAAGAAATAATGTTTGATAAATGTGAACATGCTGAGATGAGGGAACTTAAAAAATTTCTGCAGGGTTAATGACTAATCTCAAAGGGATGGTCAACTGCTTTTTACCAGGCACTTAATGGTTATTCTTAAAAGCTTTTTATACATGTTTGTATCTTAATATTTTATCAAGATGAATGGGCAGCTAAAAGCAAAAAAAAAAAAAAAAAATCACAAGAAGCTAAGGGCCTATAGATTTACAAGAATTCAAAGAGTAAATGGTAGTATCCAAAGTAACTAATATTCTAGCCTACCAATTCATTGGATTTTACAGATATTACAGCTAAAATTCAGAGTTCATTTAGAGGGCAAGTTTATGCATAGAAGTACAAACAGCAACTCCCTTACTATCCTGGGAAAGCTAGGGAAACGGAATGTAGTTAAGTTTACCATTTTATATACAACACAATCTGCCCCCTCTCCCAGGACTACCTAAATGGCTATATCATGAACTAAAATTTGAATCTGAAATCAGCTGCAGAAATGTCATAGAAATAAGACTAAACTTCAGTGTCTACAATCAATTTTATTTTAATATAATCTAAACACATACCATTTAGAAAATACCAAGAAAAATTTATGTACAAGAGTTGATGCTATTGCATTTGGATAAAGCTGGCAAGTTCTTGCTACCAGCATAGCCCAGGAAACACCACCGAGGAAACCTAATATATTGGAATAGATGTTGTGGCCTGTTGGTAAGGGAAAAGCAAAAAAAAAAAGTTAGTGTTGAACAAAAACTTAAATATTTTTAATAAGCTAGCCAACAAATTCTGAACTCACGTTTGGCCCACAGTTTGATAGCTCTCAGAGTTAACCTGAAGTTGTCAATGTTTGGTACTAGGTGTAAAATTTCATCGGTTACCCTGCAACCTGATTAATAGGAGTGAAAAAAACAGAACATTAAATTATCAAAAACTTAATGATAATCTCTTTTAATTTTCTGACATTAACATCAAATTCTAAAATAACTACCTTATTTGGCACAATTTGTAATACTAATTCAGTAAAGAGACAATGTGACACTTTGATCTCCTGCCACAAACCTTATCCTCAACCAAAACATCTGCACTGTCATTTGCCTGCTTTCGAACTTCCAATCCATAACTCAAACTTCTTCCTCCTAGGCCAAACATAGCAAGGATGACTTGACCCACTTAAATTTCCAAGAATTGTTCTTCAAGATCATGGTAACAAGCAATGCTAATAGAGTGTTCAAAGGCAATCCTTTCGAACACAACAGCTGGGAACAGTACAAAGGACAGCGCACCAAAATTAACTAGGGCTACACAGTGAGACCCACATCATGGCCAACCGAGCACCAGTGTCTGACATCTTTCAATATTTCAGGAATTATTTTTAAAAGTGCAAGATGAGTAAAATAAATGAACAAATAGCCTCTAGAGTCTGACTATTAAGTAAAGCACATTTAATTTGAATCACTACAGATATTATGGCTATAAAAGGTTTCATTATAAAATGGGAGTTTAAAACTGTTTCACATTTGACAAAAACTGCTAATATGCAAATGGAAGTAAGTTTTCACATACCGTTAAGACTTCTTATGCATCGTATATCTAAGTTTTTAAGCAGACTGTCATCTCGTAAGTCCAAGTCTTCTGGAATAGTCTGCAGTGCTAATCTTGCAAATAAAATATCAATCTAAAATAAAAACAAAACTTAACATTCTGTATCTGTTGAACTACTTTTAAAGCATTTCTTTAAAAAAGAGAACAGTATTCCTGCCCTGGCTAGGATGGCTCAGTGGATTGAGTGACAGCCTATGAACCAAAGGGTCACCAGTTCAAATTCCAGGTGGGGCACAAGCCTGGATTGCAGGCCAGGTCCCCAGTTGGGGGTGCATGAGAGGCAACCACACATTGGTGTTTCTCTCCCTCTCTTACTCCCTCCCCTTCCCCTCACTCTAAAAATAAATTATATATTTAAAAAAAGAAAACAGCAGTCCTTAAAGACAGGATCTTCTCCTCAATTATAAACATGGCAATGCTTCCAAAAGTCCAAACACTATTAATTCACAGCATAACTATTTTAATCAGGTGATAAAACATAATAATATGAAACAGAACCTACATGTCATTTTAATCATAGTTACTAAGTTTGACTTACTAAGTTTATTCAATGCATCTAACTGGATTTACTTAATCTGCTAAATTCATATGCTGGGTTGACTTCCCTTAGTTCTCCCTATGAACTGTAAAATGATTATACACTATAAGGTGTACAATTATAATGGCACATCCTTGTATTTAGCCCAAATATACCTTTTACTAAAAAAAGAAGCTCCTTACTTAAGAAGTTACATATCTACCCTATTACAGTATGCTTCTCCACCTCAGTTTTGACTAAGAAAACAAAAACGGACACTAGCTGACTCTGAAGGTTTATAGAATGCAAGGATCTTCAAGAAAAGGTGGGTGTTCAAAGAAACAGCAAAAATTTGTTAATTACCCCAAAGGTATGACTGCATACTTCTAAACTCTGAGTGCTGCTGAACAAGCCTTTTATAAAATCACTTTAAAAACAAGTATTTTAAGAGCTTATTGTGAAAAACTATTCATAGGTACCTACAGTAGGAAGAAAAACTGTACACAAATAGTACTTGTGGTATGAGTTTTCCAATTACAGATTCCAGAGCCCTAATTTAGACAGAAATAAAGATTATATGCTCACAAAAATATTAACTCAGAAAGCACCTCAGTGATGACACTGACATTTAAAAACAAGAACAGTTTCACAGAACATTGAAATGGAAACATGTTCCCCCAAACAGTATTATTTTACTTAGAACGAATACATAGAAAACCCATTAACCATTTCAAGGAACCATCCAACTTTCACCTCCACCCTGAGACATGCACACAAATGAGTGTGCTTTCCCACAAACACTCCCCCTTTGCTGGTGACGTTCTTCCTGAGAAGCCGTCACACGACTTCCCAGGCTGCTCTATAGTCACTGCAGTACCGGCAGGAAATCAAAACCGTTTCGCCTCAGTAAATCTTCACTTAAGATGCCACTGTATGTCTATTCAGAAAGGGTGGTCATCTGGCTTTTCATGGACGACTGAGCTGGGCAGCAATTATAGAAAACACCTTTTGCCCTCACTGGTGTGGTGCCAGCTTAGTTGGCTGGGTTGTCCCACGAAGTGAAAGGTCATCAGTTCAATTCCCAGCCAGAGCGCATGCCCGGGTGGTGGGTTTGGTCCCCAGTGGGACACATGTGAGAGTCAACCAATCAATGTTTCTCTCTCATGTCGATGTTTTTCTTCCTCTCTTTCTCCCTCCCTTCCCCTCTCTCTAAAAATGAATAAATACAATGTTAAATTTAAAAGAAAACTTTTTTTTTTGCAAAACCACGAAGCATTTATTTTCAACTCTAAAATTTTATAATCTTCACTGTCACCATCAGCACCGTTATGTGTGGGGAAAGTAATTAATACAGTTGCTTCGCTGGCAGCTTTGTCCAATTACTTTCACTACACATGTTGAAAGAGGCAAAAAGAAATGCACAGCATCTCAAGAATTGGGAGTTCATACATCCTCCCCATCAGAAAATAGGTTAGCATGCATAATATCACACAATTTTCTCTCAACTTCTTTATATATTTTATTTAAATGAAATCAAGGCAAAATTCTATTTGCAAAAATATATAGTACTGTCTTAATGAGACTTAAAAGTATACAAAATTGACATATGAAAAAACTGCCAAGTAAACTTTTATAGCAGCATTTCATTGTCAGTTTCATTATTTGTCTATATTTTTTTAAAGGTTATTTATTTATTTCTAGAGAGGGAAAGGGAGGGAGAGAGAAAGGGAAACATCGATGTGTGGCGTCGTCTTGCACAGCCCCTGCTAGGGACCCGGCCTGCAACCCAGGCATGTGCCTCAGACCAAGAAACAAAACTGGCCACCCTGTGGTCCACAGGCCTGCACTCAATCCACTGAGCCACACCAGCCAGGGCGTTTGTCTGTATTCTGGCCCCTAATTCCACTATACTCTTTTAAAAGAGTAAAAATGGTATTCTACACAGAACAAGCAGTCGCTTCCATTAAAAAATTAATTCTTATTAATATCACACCAATTCATCAATTATATAACTTTAAAAGAAGTTTTTAACCTACACAGGTTAAAATTCCACCCAGCAAAAACTGTGTATCTGAACTTCACCTTACCTCTATCCCATCAAAACACAGTTTGATAACTGGCACAAATGCCTCTTCAACAGCCTGTAAGAAAATCAAACAAGTTCAATGTCTCTGAAACTACATTAGACCTATACTAATTTTAGTGCTTTTAAAAGACTGTAATACTTGAAATTGTTTAAATATAATGTAGCATAATGTCTCACCAACTAGCTTTAACACCCCAGGTTCTTGAATTAGACAAACCTTAAGTTCAAATCTTTGATTTATGCAACTCAGATATGTGATCATGGCCAAAATGCATAACACTTATTTTGTTTGCCTCATTTTCTACTTTGTTCACAAAATTAGATTTATGACTTCAGACTTACTGTAAAGAATTAAAATGCAAACATAGAGAGTAAGCAATTTAAAAGGTATGGCAAACTTTTTAAGAGTTCAAAAAATGATGGCTATACCATAAAATTCACTCAATTGACTAAACTAACTTTTATAAATCTTCCCCTTTCACCCCATTTACGCACTCTTAAATCTTTTACTTCTTCCTGTAATTTCAACTTATCATAGAATGAGGTGAAAAAGTCACTTCGATCAACATGTCTTGGTGCAACACACAAAGCATCAATATCGGCACCTAAAAAAAGATTAAGCCCATCAAGCATTAATTACTATTTCAAGAAAATTATTTTGCATCTTATTATAAAGTATCTGACGTTGAGACTCTGTTAACATTATACTGGTGAGCCTCTAAAAACTCAACCCTCCCCTTAACAAAAAAACTTACTGGTCAGTATAGGAATAACATGATTCTAATTAATGGGACTGCCTTTGCTAGAGCTTCCTCCAGTTGCAGTGGCCTAAATGAACTGGGAGGCAAAGAAAGGTGACCCAGAAAGGACCTATGATGGCCACACAGAACTGGTGGAGAACAGAGCCAGCATCTTGATGTCATCAGTCACACACTTGTCATCAGTAAAACAAAGAAAGTTTTCTTCTACACTGTGTGACTGGTGCTTTGAGGCTGGCAACGAGCCCCTAAACAGGCCCTACAGGGGTCAACATCAAGAAGAACCACTGAGAAGAACCCAGCAAGGTAGACCATATAGTAAGATATTTGTTATTAATGTAGTGCTTGATAGGAGGCCAGCACTGAGTATGCAGGGAGAACATGAGAGAGATGATTACAGTCAGTAATCGACTGTAACTGGGACCATAAATGGGGGTAAATGGAATAAGTGTAGAATCAGGTCAACATTGTCTTCTTCCTCAAAGTCAACAGCCAAGTCACTATCAGGAAGGCTGTTATTTAGCATATTCATGATGCAAAAGAACACACGGAACACTACTGACACCAACCAAGCAGTGGGAGATGAGGAGAGGGAAGGATGCCAGATCAAAGAGAACACATAGGAGGTCTGCCCAGAAGGGACCCAGCCATGCAATATGAAAAAACAGAGCCATTTACTGAAGATAACAAGATACAGGAAACACTGTACACAGGACAATGACTCCTCAGTCTCCTCCAAAGTAGGCACCTTGGGACCTCACACAGTTCTCCCAATCGCTATCAGCTGTTCCATCATACTTTCCTGAACCTCATCAACGATAGTCTGAAATCTCTTCCCCTTCAAAGGTGATTTTAGTTTTGGGAAAAGCCAGAAGTCACAGGGCACCAAATCTAGGCTGTAGGGCCTAGATTCACCTGGGTGAGTCACCTGGGTGATTTGACACTTGTCAAAAAACTCAGCACAAGACATGATGATGCTTGAGTGGGTGCATTGTCATGATAAAGCTGCCAATCACCAGTTGCCCATAGTTTGTGGCCTTCTGAATAATCCAAATGGTTTCCATAGAGAAATGTTCAAGCTAAATGTAAAATCTGATGCAGATTCATTGCTCCTACTTAGTCATCTTGAATGTGACAGCCACACAGTAAACATGCTCACTCAACGGTGTCAACTGCCCCTACTGACTAGTACAGCAAAGGTGCCATTGTTCACAGATGCACATTCCAGTCCACTCCTCCTGGCTGCCAGGTCTCATGGATGTCGCGCAAGTCATTTTCATTATAATAACATTGGCTGAGCTTTTTCCAGACAGACCTCGTATACATTGACAGATAACTTTCAACACAGAGGCCAGTGGTTAATGGTTGAAAAGTACAGCTTCAGAATGCCCCGCCGAAGAAGAACCCTCGAACTGCCCAGAACTGCCCACATGACTGGTTGAAATTGTTCAAGCTCTACTGCCTCTGTAAGTCTCAGCTCCCTATGAACGACATGAGAGTAAGAGTACTGAGGAATAAATATTGTAACGAACACCGAAAAAAGTATTACCTCTGTGCTCAGTACAAAGAAAAAGCTCAATAAATGCCCCCTGCCATGGTAGCAGTTTTATTGCGTTCTTATCTGCACAGAGGAAAAACTACAAGTGTCAATAAGGAAATAGTAAAAGCCAATCAATGACTGCAGATAAACTTTTTTATTCTACTTAACTGTATTTTGCAACTATAATAAAAGTATGGGGAAAAGAAAATCCACAGGTTACTTTCTGAAAGCTTTCACCTGATCTTGCTCGGATGCCCAGGTTAACAGTCTCCAGGGAGAAGAAGCGGCACAGAGGTCCGCACTGCTCAGAAGAACGTCCTAACGGGAAAAGGCTCTCCTGCCAACCCGGCAGCCGCTGGGCACTCAGCCCCTGGTGGCTGCTCGCACTCAGCCCCTGGTGGCTGCTCAACACTGAGAGTTGCAGCTACTTCTACTGAGGGGCTAAATTTCAAATTTTGCTTCCTACTGCATAAACAGCACCAGTACAGAAGTCATCAATTTATTTCTTCCCCCTTACCAAATGCGGGTCCCTTGACCTGCTCTCTCCAAGCACGTTAGGGCTGTATGATATACTACAAGCAACTGAGATGGGTGCGTTGTTAAAAATTTTTAAGAAATGAAAAGTATTTCTTTTCAAAATAATTAAAACAATATTTACCTTTTGTGTGTACTCCTAATCGGTAAGATCCAAATGTAAAAATTTTTCCTCCAACATTTTCAATTACAGACTGTGGAAGATTCTGTTAAAACAAGAAGAAAATAGTTGTTTTCTCAGTGGATAACAAAGAAAATTATTTCAAGTAACAGTGTACATTTTAAAAACAACCAAAATAAGATTTCAGTGCAAATTTAGACAGAGGATAAACAAGCTCTAGAAAATACCAGCCTTCACAGATCAATCTAATTTGAAAGTAAAGCAATTTTCAACCTCTAATGAGTGTTCTTTGGTAAAGACCCTCACTTTTTTGGAATTTTGCCACAGTTCTGGAAACTGCTTTAAAGAAGACTGCAGTAGAGATCACGTGACTATACAGGAGCAATGATTCAGAGATTTTTTTCATGACAAAGTAGCTGCATAAATTATGAATGTTACAATTTAACAAAACATTCTAATTGCTTAAAAGATTATATTACATTCAATGATTGTGCCAAACAGCCAATGGTGCCGACCTCACAGCAGCGATTTTCAACCAGCGCACCACAGAATTCTTATAACACACAACACCTGGCAACTCAGTGATGAGCAGTGACCTCTTTTCCCTCATACAGTCAGACTGGAAAGTAACAACAGCTGACAAAACAACAGCTGTCCAGTATAAATGTTCTGTCTTGAACCATAAATATATAAGTCACATAGTAACAGAATCGCATCTTACTGGTCACGGCGCATAATAAGGTTGAATCCGATTGGTTAATTCTTGGTACCAGAAATCCTTATATACAAGTACAGGCACCTGATTTTTTCAAAAGTCACTTTAGAGCAAAAAGGGTAGGTAATTACTATTATTATTTTTTGTAAATCAATCAAAATTATGCCTATTATCATATCAGCAAAAAATATTTTTTGTTGTGCCACTGAATTTCAGTAATTAGTTTACGCATACCATGAGGTAAAAAAAAAAAAAGGTTGAATATTGCTGCATTAGAGTATAATTTTCCCATATAAAAAGTCACTGTACTGTGAGGCCAGTAATGCTACATAATGGTTTATTTTTAGATTTCCAAAAGACTTTGGTAGAATGATTCTGAGCAGGACTAATCACTGATGGCTTTTTAGAGAAGAGACACCAGAAGCTGGGAGAAGGGAAAGCATTCAGTACACCTCCCTGACCCTGGCCCTGAAGTTCCACGGTGAGTACTCACTCTCCCTGTTGATCAGGATGATGTGTGCCCAAACAAATTTTAATGTGTGCTAAGTCAGTCACTTCTTTCTACCATCTAATTACTCAGTATAGTCCAGTCTTACTGAGTACCAGAGCAGACTACTTTTCCCTTTGCCCTGGAAAAATGGCACCATCGATTCAATTTCAAAAACCCTAGAAAAAATTGTAAAGATTCAGGGACTTCCTGTGTTTTAAAAACATATTTAATCATTGCTTATAGAAAAGACAATCTATAGCTATAACATTACATTTGTCAGAAGTAGTCAAGGTCAGAAACCACCAAAGACCCCAAATAGTCAAAGAAATATTAAGAAAGAAAAACAAAGTTGGAGGTATCACACTACCTGTTATCAAATTTTACTCCAAGGCTATAGTACTCAAAACATGGTACTGCCATAAAAACAGGGACAGAGACCAATGGAACTGAATAGAGAGCCTGCAAATAAACCCAGCCTACATGGCCAATTAATCTATGACAAAGAAGATGGGAATACACGATGGGGTGAATCTGTGATAAAAGGAGCTGCGAAAACTGGACAGGTGCACGCAACAACGAAATGAAGTCGCTTTCTGTACCATCCACCAAAATGAACTCGAAACGGACTGAACTTACAAGTGAGACCTGAAAGCACAAAACTCCTAGAAGAAAACAGGCAGTAATCTCTCTGACATTCCTGTTAGCAACTTTTTGGGATATGTCTTGTCAGGAAAGGAAAACAGAAATAATAACAAATGGGACTACAACAAACTAAACAGTTTTTGCACAGCAAAGAAAACCATCAACTAAACAAAAAGACAACCTACTGAATTGGAGAAGAGATTCACCAACGATACTTCTGATAAAGGGTTAAAATCCAAAATATACCAGAAACTCATACAATTTAACACCAAAACACCCCAAACAATCTGATTAAAAAATGGACATACAACATGAATAGACACTTCTCCAAAGAGGACATACAGAAGGCCAATAAACACATGAAAAGATGCTCAACATCACTAATCATCAGGGGAATGCAAATTAAGACCACAATGAGGTATTATCTCACAGCTGTCATCAAACAAATCAACAAACAAGTGCTGGCAAGGCTGTGGAAAAAAGGGAGCACTCCTGCACTGTTGGTGGGAATGCAGCCGGGTGCAGCCAATACAGAAAACAGTATGGAGGTTCCTCGAAAAATTAAAAACAGAACTTCCACATGACCCAGCAACCCTACTTCTGAGTATTTATCCAAAAAAATCCAAAAAACTAATTTGAAAATATATATACCCCCCCTATGTTCATTGCAGCATTATTTACAACAGCCAAGATATGGAAGCAACAAGAGTCCACTAATACACAAATGGCTAAAGATGTGGTAATATATACAACAGACTATTACTCAGCTGTTAAAAAAAATACCTCTTTCCATCTGCAACATGGATGGACCCAGAGGATATTATGCTAAGTGAAATTAAAAAACAAATAAAACAGAAACAAACTCATAAATATAAAGAACAGCCTAGTGGTCTCCATATGGGATGGCTGTGGAGGGAATGGAGAAATGGTGGACGGGATTATGAAGTACAAGCCGCCAGTTCTAAAAAACAGTTATGGGGATTTCAAGTACAGCAGAGGGAATAAGGGCAACAGTATCGTGATAACTATGTATGGTGCCAGGCATTACTAGACTTTTCAGGGGGAATCACTTCATAACTTAAATAAATGTCTAACTATTATGCTGTACACCTGAAACTAAAATATCGAGTGTCAACTATAACAAAAAATAATTGAAACACAAAAACTCTAAATAAAAAAAATAAAAGAATCACTGGGTAAGGAAACTTACCAGGCACTCAAGGACCTGAAACAAAACTATCAGTTGAGACAACACTCGTTTCACATTAAATAAATGTAACTTCTAACCCTGTCTAGTTGACTACAATTTTAAACTTAAACTAAACATCTAAGAAAAAGCCATTAAAACAGACCAAAGTTTTCTATACAAGGTTAAGGAAACACTAAGTTCAATAAATGAGTAAAAATATACTTCGACTTGGACAGCTTTAGCTCGGCTCAAAAGAACTTCCTTTTCAAAATCTCATTTTTACCAAACTACACTGATGAGGAATAGGTAATTTAGGGAACCCCAATTTAGAATATTCCACTGCTAAAGTTTTAATCAACTACTTGAAATACAAACACACTATTTTAAGGTGAAAAATTATAAATTCGACTAAAACCAAAAGACTAACTTTTCTTCGACGCTGACATCCTCTCTCAGGTGTTCTTCTACCTTGGTTCTTCCTATCGCTTTTTCAACTTCATTATAGAGTAAAGATGCATCTGGAACTACCCTGGGAAAGTGGTAGTGGAAACTACCACTATGTAGGGATTGTTTTTTTAACAAGTCAAATGAATTCCATAAATGATTCTAATACATTTCTTTACCAGTAACCTAGTCATGAATTCATCAGTTGTGTGTATAATTTTTCATAATTAAGTATTAGAAGCTCAAAAATGTTATTATAAAAAACTAAATATTCAGTTTCAGTCTAATACCTGAAAACCTAAAAAATGCTCATTATTGCACGATTCCTTAAAAGGTAACCGGGACTTCCCAAGATGGAGGCGCAGGCAGAAACACTGTTGCCGCCTCGCACAACCAAAATAAGGACAACAAAGGGGGGGGGACGGACACGACCAAAACCGACAGAAAACTGAACTGTAAGGAAGTCCAACGACCAAGGAGTTATAATAGAAACTCATCCAGACCAGTAGGAGCGGTGGAGCTTGGCAGAGAAGGGCCATGCAGAGAAAAAGCGGTGGTCAGTGGACCGCACAGAGCAGCAGCAGCAGCCCCAGGGAGGCAGCAGATTGTGGAGGGGCGTGGCCCACGGGTCAACCAGGGGGCACTGGGGAGCGAGACAGCCCACACAACCCAGGACCCCAGCAGGGAAATAAAGCCTCAAACCACTGACTGAAAACACCTGTGGGGGATGAGGTATCGGGAGAGTTCACTGGAGAGACAGACCCACAGGGTCCTGGAGGGTGCACACAAACCCACGTACCTGGGGACCAGCACCAGAAGGGCCCAGTTTGCTTGGGTCCCCCTCCGCTTCCTGTGGAGGGGACTGAGATCCAGCAGAGAGCGGAGCAAGCACCACTGTTCCCTCTCGGACCCCTGCCCCACATGTAGCATCACAACCCAGCCACCGGGTTGCCCCGCCCTGGTGAACACCTAAGGTTCTGCCACTCACCATATAACAGGTGTGTCAAGACAAAAAAAAAAGACCCAAACGAAACAACAGATCAAAGCTCCAGAAAAAATACAAATAAGTGACAAAGAGGTAGCCAACCTATCAGATGCACAGTTCAAAGCACTGGTGATCAGGATGCTCACAGAAGTGGTTGAATTTGGTCACAAATTAGATGAAAAAATGAAGGCTATTCTAAGTGAAATAAAGGAAAATGCACAGGGAACCAATAGCGATGGGAAGGAAATGGGACTCAAATCAATGGAGTGAACCAGAAGGAAGAAAGAAACAACCAAAAAGAATGAAAAAACGGTAATTTAAAAAAAAATGAGGAGAGGCTTAGGAATCTCCAGGACCTTTAAATGTTCCAACATCCAAATGATAGGGGTACCAAAAGGAGAAGAGGAAGAGCAACAAGTGGAAAAGTTATCTGAACAAATAATAAAGGAGAACTTCCCCAATCTGGCAAAGGAAATACACTTCCAGGAAGTCCAGGAAGCTCAGAGAGTCCCAGAGAAGTTGGACCCAAGAAGGAACACACCAAGGCACATCATGAGCCAAGATTAAAATGAAGGAGAGAATCCTAGAAGCAGCAAGAGATAAGGAGACAGTTACCTACAAAGGAGTTCCCATCAGACTGTCAGCTGATTTCTCAAAAGAAAACTTGCAGGCGAGAGGGGCTGGAAAGAAGTATTCCAAGTCACGAAAGGCAAGGACCTACATCCAAGATTCCTCTATCCAGCAAAGCTTTCATTTAGAATGGAAGGGCAGAAAAAAGTGCTTCTCAGATAAGGTCAAGTTAAAGAAGCTCATCATCACCAAGCCCTTATTATATGAAATGTTAAAGGGATTATCTAAGAAAAAGAAGATAAAACATGTACAGTGAAATGACAGCAAACTCACAATTATTAACAACGACACCTAAAACAGAAACAAAAACAAACACAAACTAAGCAAATAACTAGAACAGGAAATGAACCACAGAAATGGAGATCACATGGAGGGTTAGCAACAGGGGAGTGGGAGGAGGAGAGGGGGAAAGGTACAGAGAATAAGTAGCATACATGGTAGGTAGAAAATAGACAGGGGGAGGGTGAGAATATGTGGGAAATGTAGAAACTAAAGAACTTATAAGTATGACACATGGACATGAACTAAAGGGGGAGAATGTGGGTGGGAGAGGGTGCATAGGGGGGATGGGAGTGAAGGGGGGGAAATGGGACAACTGTAATAGCATAATCAATAAAATATATTTTTAAAAGGTAACCAGATTTTCAAATATTTAATAGACATCTTAAAAAAGCACCTTTCCTGGACAGTAGCTACTATTTCAGTAAAATGTATAAATAACTACTGAGTTTCAGCTTTGAAATGCTGCAACCAAGAGTACTTACATTAAAAAACAAAAAATCATTGAGTTCACTAAAGACTGTCCTGTTTCCAAAATAACTAGAAACAAAATATCCAAGGTGAGGGCAAAAGTAAGTTTACAGTTGTTCATATGGAAATTACAATAATTAATCAAAAATAATACCAAGAATAAATAAACTGTTTCATTTACTTATAAGTACAGGAAACACTGTTTATTCTTGTATTATTTATTTAATTACTGTATTTTCCTTATACTGTAAAACTTTTTGCCCCACCCTATAAATTGTTACTAAATCCATTCAAACAAGAACAGGTTATATAAGACAACTGCTATATTCAGTTGGCAAATTATTTTATATACAAATAAGTCACCTTACCTTGCTTTCACTGATTTCTCGTATCCACTCTTTTACCAGGTTATTTAATTTTCCCAAAATTAAAATCCTGTTGATAAAGGAAATATTAATCATTAAGTTTTTTGTTATTCCAAATCATTACTTATTAAAATGTGGAAGTTGCCTTGGCTGGTTGTGGCTCAGTGCATTGAGCACCGGCCTGCCAACCAAAGGGTCACCAGTTCGATGATTCCCACTCAAGGCACATGCCAGGGTTGCAGGCCAGGTCTCCATTAGGGAGCATGCGAGAGGCAACCACACATTGATGTTTCCGTCTCTTTTTCCCCTCCCTTCCCGTCTTTCAATAAATGAATGAATGAATGAATGAATGAATGAATGAATGAATGGATGAAGTTTTCCATAGGTAGCTTTCTAACTTTTAAAGAGCTTGTAAGGTATCAGAATGAAAGTATGCAGCAGCTTATGTAGGCACTGTTACACTGGGTGAGGCAGTCCCCTTTCCCCTGACAATTCTGTATTATAACAACCAAAAGCATCAAAAACCAAAATTAAAAGGATGCAACTCCAGGTAGAAAAAGTTTTTTCTAAGTGTCACTCTTATCTGAAACAGACATATTTGAGAGAATAATCCTGACTTTCTAAGTCAAAATGCCACCAAATTAGTTCGTTATGTGAATAAGAAATTATAAATTTTTATGTACTTACCTGCGCTGCAGTTCCTCTTCCTCTTCAAAAACCCCGAAGGGCTTCAGAGTCTCAATTAATTTCTGTGTAAGCAGGCAGTCAGTCTCCTTGGGGGCTGCTAAGCTGATAGGAGAGGTAATGCCATAGTGCTTCTGTGGCGGCTGTGTCTGTTGTGATCCCTGCGTTGTAACTGGACTGCAAATGGAATTGGATAAAATTACTGCCAAAAAATGTCTGCAAATTTGAAACAAATCAGCATGACTAGAAAAACTGCTTTGGTAAAATGTATTTCTAAACATGGTTGACATTCTGTCTTACAATAAAAGCAACCAAAAGCAAGTGACTAAATGAAAACATTTTTTTCTACTTCCACTCCGAGTTTAACTTTGTCACTTTATCTGTAAGAATCCAGATCAAATATACTGCTGGGGAAAAATGTGATCTAGAACAGAAGTAAACTGAGGAGTTTTACTTGTAAAAAAGGAGCCAAAATCTGCTACACTGTTCTTTTCAAAGCAATGACGAACATACTGCAAAACCACTCTCTTACCAATATAAGAAACTCCCCAAATGGAACCTAACGACTGACTCCCAATGAATAAAACTCAGAGATGAACAGGGCATACGACATAAGCACACCCAGTGTGTGTGGGGGACTATACTCACACTAAGCTTGTTACAGATTTTTAGTGGATTTACACAGAGACGATGATGCTAGTCTAAAAGTTTTTCCATTTTAAAAGAAATTCCGATTTTTTATAACTAATAGGATTTTAACACAGCTTGAAATGTTTTAATCCACCTTGTTGAAATACTTTATAATTCAATGAACAAGGATCTCAAAGATTAGTCGCACAACTATTATGTAACAACTATTAAGTAACATACAAAGCCAGAAAGGGGCTCCAGGCAGGGGCTAAGGGAAGTACCTAACACCCAGATCAGTTATTTCTCCCAAATTCTGTTCCTTAACAAATATTTGCTTTACACACATACGCACACACCCCTATTTTTCTTTTAAGTTCTAAATACATTTTTCTTTTTAAAATAAAGTGCAATAATCCACTTACTTAAGCAATTAACATGCTAAATCCAAGATCTTAGGCAGGTAAGTCCCATTATGCAACCCACTGGGCTCTGGTTTATACTGTGACCATTGGGCTGTTTTGTATTGTGTCTTCTGATAATCAATACAGATCTAAGAATACCAGGAGGCCTATAGTGCTTATTACTGATTAGCCAGTGGGCTGCCTACTATCTAATCAATGTTTTCTGATCTAGTTAGAAATTGTCTCAATTTTAAAAGATTTTACAGTAACATTTACTAAGTAAATATCGGATTACCTCCTGCAGCAATTAATTCACGTCAGAACACTTCTCCTACTCCTTGGATCTAAACTGCACAGCTACTTGGGGCTATGATGTTAATTCAGAGCTGGGAAACCACATGAGCACCAAGCACTACCTGAAGACTAACAGCTTACACTGATATTCTACTTCCAAAATTTATGTAGCGTCTCCTATGCTTAAAATATATGTTAACTTCAAGTTCCGTGTAAGTGTATTCACAATGTCTTGGTTAATACATATTTTCATCAATCAACAAATTATCAGATTCCTTAAAAATGACACCAATAACATGGCCCTCAAAACTAGTCATTTCGTAATCCTTTGATTCGATATTCTTAAATAGATTTCAGATAAGTTAGGTTTTAAATGTAAAAAAATTACCCTTACCACATAGCCTAGAGTTAATTACATTCTTTCGTATTGCTCACTGCTTCATAAGTTTCTTCAAGTAAGCTACAGCCCTTCACTACTATCCCAGAATTATGAATTACACTTTTATAAATAATTCTAACTTGAGTGGGGCCACAAATGAAAAGGGTAAAAGTTCATTCTAGACAGAATTGGTGCAAGCAAAGAGTGCTTTCAAGGCAAGTGTAAATTGAATTCACGTTTTCTAAACTTCAAATAATAAATCTCTACACTATATATAGTTTTGTTTTTTGTTATTGTTTTGAGCAAGTAATAATATGTTTCTCTGCATTCTTTTCCTTTCTGAAAGGTTTAAATTCATTACCAGTTGAGTTAGATCTCTGTGGGGTTAAGATTCTTCACTTAAAATTTCCTGTTTTTTTCTTTCTCTAATATTCTGGTTTTTCAGTGATACAAAAAACAATGATTGGAAAGTCTGTCTATTTAAACTACATTACCATAACATTAGGGGTCCAGACTTAGATTTCCAATTCACACCAAGTCTGTTTACTCTGTTGATGTCTACATTAGTTTCCACATTAACACTCTGATGAGGAAGCAAATTACATGTGAATTGTACATTTTTATTTACTTTATTCAAAATGCAGTCACACCATTGAGAATAAACACACATTCATCTGTCCCGTCCAGTTGAAGGAAGGACATACATGGTGCTTGCTTACTTACCCACACATACAGAACATATATCTGAAGTGCACATACAGAACATACATGGATTAAAGAACACACAAAATAAATATAAATCACAACCAAACAAAAGGAAAGAAACACAAGATACCTGTGCCTCCAACATAAATGACTTAATAAAAAGCAGCACAGCACAAAATTCCGGGCTGCCAGATGCCCTGAATTTCCAAAATGTCCCAAGAAGAAACATTAGCCATGGGATGAAAATAAACCAGTTGCTAACAAAGCAAAAACACACACTCCAATACTGGGTAATTTGAAAGATTCTCCTGTGCACTCTCGTCCAGAACCATACAGCAGACAGCGACCCATCCCAGGAATGCAACACTCTTCCTCCCATTCCTGACACATTAGACACCTGCTCGTGCCTGTCACTTTCTAGAGACATTTTTACCAGTATTTAGTTTTCTTCAGACATTACTCTACTTTAAAAATAAAACTACAATGATGTAAAACAATGTGAAAAAACAAATGGTGTAGAGCTCCAGTATGTGTCTCAAACTTTCTAGTTTTTGATATCAAGAACACTTGTTCTTGCCCTGGCTGGTGTGGCTCAGTGGACTGTGTGCCAGCCTTCAAAACAAACGTCACGGGTTCAATTCCCAGTCAGGGCACATGTCAGGGTGGAGTGAGAGGCAACCACACATTGATGTTTCTTTCCCTCTCTCTCTCCTTCCTCCTTCCCTTCCCCCCCTCTCTAAAAATAAATAAATAAATAAAATATTTTTTAAGAAGAACACTTGCTCCTCTGAGCAACTGATTTCTTTGCATCTCATGAACATGACTTGCATTTCCCTTCGGGATACTGCGCAAACTCTTAGAGCAAAACTGGTGTGAATCTAGCAAGTTCTCTACTCCACAAAAACCCAAATACCACTGTATTTCTGTTAGAACTATTTTAGTGCCCTAATTTCCTCTTCTGCTTTATATGGCTATCCTTAATTTTTCCTTTCCACCCACCTAATGCAAACATCTTGCTAGTCTTTAAAGTGTGACTAAAGCATTCTGGTTTGCAAGTCTTATTATTACTTCCTGGATCAGAGTAGGATATATATACGATGCACAGAGTACATAAAATTTTGCTTCCCCTCAAAATCACAAATGATTGCCACAGACTCCCATTTGTGGGGGTGGGGGTGCAGGTGCAGGGAAGGGTAAGAGGGCACACTGTTAAACAGGGTCCAGCACAAATAACACTCCTTTTTTATTATAAAACCTTTTATTACAAAATCATAAGTATGTAATTCTGTAACATAACAATATCACACTCAAGCACACCATGTGACATTTTAATTGAAATGTTCAAATTAAAACTATAAATTGGCCCTGGCTGGTATGGCTCAGTGGACTGAATGCTGGTGTGTGAACCCAAACGTTGGTTTGGTTCCCAGTCAGGGCACATGCCTGGGTTGCAGGGCCAGTCTGTCAGCTGGAGGAGCGCAAAGGCAACCGAGTGATGTTTCTCTCCTGCTTCCTACCTCCCTTTCCCTCTCTCTAAAGATAGTGTCTTTAAATAGATAGATAGACAGACAGACAGAGAGACAGAACTATAACTTATTACACCCATATTATTGCCCTACCAACCACACTCAAGCAGGCATTACATCTGTCAAACACTGTATTTTCAGAATCCTTCTCTTAGAATCTGAGGTATTTTCTTGACTACATTTAAACTACTGTCATCAGGGCAAAGTTCATAAAGTTCAAAAAGGAGCCCTGACTGGTGTAGCTCAGTGGATTGAGCGCAGGCCTGGGAACCCACGATCACAGTTCAATTCCCAGTCAGGGCACATGCCTTGGTTGCAGGCCACTTCCCGCAGGGGACTCACGAGAGGCAACCGTACATTGATATTTCTCTCTCCTTCCCTTCCCCTCTAAAAAAGATAAATAAATAAAATCTTTAAAAAAAATAGCCTGCTTAAAAAAAAAAAGACACATGCCCATTTTCTTTTCTTTTCTAATTTAACAACATTCTACGTAACAATCCTATTCCAACCACTCCAGCCATGACACCTGGCATGGCGGTCCCACTGCAGCCTTCTACTCCTCTGCTGTGCCAGCCCACCACCCGTGCTGCTGCCAAGCACATCTTCCTAAAACGGTTTCCTTAAAACGCTCCACAACTTCTGGTAATGGCATTCAAAACTCCTACTCTCGATTCTGCAGAAATGTAATAGAGAGGCCTATTTTCTCTGCTACTCTGTTACTAGTGAAAATCATTCTCGGTAAGTGGTACCTATGGATTTACCAGTGAATTTATTACATCTCCTCTGTAAGACAGACGGTAAACTAGGAATTTAAAAACTATCACATATTTGTGACCTAAGGAGTTTTCCAAATATATCAAGTTTTTAAACTAACACTCAAATAGAGCTCTGCCTTTTTCTGATGATAGGCTAAGACTTGACTCTCATTAGGATATTTGGGCACTTACAAAGAACAGCAATATTTTTGTAAAAGTAGCACAATAGGCTCCTTATTACAGTTATGTATTTGTTTCAAAAGTTTAGGTGTTCAAGTTAACCAGAACGTACACTCTGAAATATCAAGAGCCTCTTGGTACAACAACTATAAAGCTGATATAAATAGTGCAGGTTCCTGCGATTTGTGAACTGTAGTTTAGTGGCCATACATCCAAAAAAAGTATCATCAATCTTTGGATGTATTATTACTAATAATTATCCCAAGTCAGTGAAGAAATAATGAAACGCTCAAATGGCTTTGATTGT